TCAACACTATCTTCTGAATTATGGTCAAACCTCGACTCTGGCACTGAGAAATAAAAAATAAAAAAATGTTTGACATTCTGCGACATCCTACTCTAGACTAGACAGTAAAGTAATACTAATGGGGTTAACTTATCAGTAAAAGGTTTACGCAATTCACTTAAAATGGGCTCCTACTGCCCCGTTTAAACACAGGGATACAGAACTACATTCAAACGATACTCCATACAACTGTACAACAACTCACCCTTATGTAACAGATAACCGTGTGTCATGCCAGTCACTATTTCATCTTTGCACCGTTTCTCCTTACGACCTCTTATATATAGCAGAGATATATTTGTATTATTTTGTATTTTTATGTAAATATAGTAACTTAAATAAATATATGAAAATCTAGACAATAAACAACAATACTTAAACCACACCATAAAGCAGAAGCATCCCTGCACAAAATTGTTAAAAAATATAAGCTGCCATAAACACAGAACTGAATGCAACAAGTAGTTAGTTTGTGGGTTGTGTATTCAACTTTCTACAGCTCAAATCTAATTGTAGTACAGAAAAATAACAAAAATGTCCTCACTAGAACTAAAAAGTCCTCACAATAAATCCTGACCCCCTAAAATTATTGTTCCATTCATCATGTATTGAACAATAAGTCAACATAGTAATTATCGTGACAGGCCTCCCCACTAGGACTAAACACGAGGCCTGGGGAAGACGTGGCCTTCTCCACTGCTCCTCCGTGCCCAAACATATCAGACACTCTTTATTATGATGTAGTACCTGCTGGGATGTGGTTTCCGTTCTCTCTCTCCTCTTCAGACTCTTCCTCAGACTGTTCATCCTCGCTCACGTCTTCTGAAATGTAGCGTAGAAACATGTGTCCCATTGCAGCTTAAAAACTTAACGTGACAAATGACATAAGCTGTTACTTCAGCTCTAACCTGCACTCTGCTCCGAGTGGGCTGATCCAGAGGCCGACTCCTCCTCCCCTTCTCCCTCTGCCTCACTCTGACTGCTGGAATCTTCCTCTTCCTCGTCATCTTCCTCCTCTGAGCCTGATCCGGAGGCTACACAGCAAAAAAAAAAAAAGAGGTAAGGGTACAATAATGCAATGAAAAAAAATACAATTTGTTCAGACTTTCCAGAAAGTATTTGAATAAAACATTTAACTTCTTTCATATTATCTGTGGATTTTCTTACCAACAGAGGATTCTGCAGAGCTGGTCTTTCGCTCATTGTCACTGATGTCTTGGAGATCTGCTAACAGGTCTTTGAGTTCAGGCTTATCTTCCTTCAGCTCTGTGGGCAAAGTTAGCAATACCAATAAATGAACACTTTATAGGTAAACATTTCAAAATGATCTGGGGTGGTTTTGAGTACCTGTGGTTTTGCGTGGTTCATTGTGTTCTGCCCTGTCTCTTGGAGCCCATGTGGGACTACGGCTCCGTTGTCTTGGCTTCAGTTTGTCTTCATATTCTTCTGCTGGAGCTCGGTGCACAACTGCCAAAAACAATTTAATCAAATCAAATTTTAGAGCAGATCTTCAAGTACGACACATAAACAAGAGAAAGACACACATGTGGTGAATATTGCTATAAATATATATATTTTTTGCATGCAGTGGTGGAAGAAGTACTCAGTTTTGTTGTTGTTTTGTTGTTTGTAAAAGTACAAAAGCTGGAGCAAAAAATACTCATGTAAAAGTAGCACATGAAAAAATCTACTGTAGTAAAAGTATTAAATATCGTGTAGAGACGGCAGGGGTTATTTTAGCCATTTTTATTTGTATTTTTTCTTTACTCACACTATGAACTTGACAAAAAAATAACCCTCTCAGCCTTTTCAGCAGGTCTCAGAAAAGAATATATAAAAAAAAAAGTTCAAAAATGTAGTGGAGTAAGTATAACGTAACATTATAACAGTACGTTAGTCCTTTTACTTTGTTTTGTCCCACCACTGCTTACATGTGAAATTGCAACACATCTATTACCTCCAGAATCCACAAGTGAATACTAATTAGGCCATACCTTGTCTCCAGTCTCCTCTATCTTTGCGTCTCTCCTCCACTCTCCTCTCTCGATCTTTAAACTCTCTCTGCTCCTTAAACTCCCTCTGCTCTTTAAGTTCACGTTGTTCTTTCTGTTGTTCACGGAGTTTCCGGTCTCGCTCACGTTGCCTTTCCAGCTGCTCCAACCGGTCACTGTGAAAAGCACACAGAATATCATTCAAATTCTTCAGTGTTTACTAGAATCAATCAGCCTCTCAGATACTGACCGCTCTCTCCGTGAGTGAGCTCGGGCCTGTTCTCGCCGTTTCTGCCTCTCCCAGTCTCTACGGGCTTTGTCTTCTTCCCAGTGACGCTTACGCCGGTCACTTTCTCGATCTTTTTCCTTCTCTTTTGGACGCACATGTTTTCCTGAAGATGCATAAAGATTGTAAACAGATGTATTTGAACAAATGAACAGTTAAAATTTCTCTTGCTGACCTTCTTCAGCTGAGTGACTGCGGTGCCGTCTCTTGTCTTTTCTCTTCTCCTCTTTTCTGTGGTGTGATTTGTCTTTTCGTGCTATCTGCTGAGGAGGCTTAATGGCAAGTGATTCATCTTCTTCTCCCCTGAACATAAGCATACAAACATGAATTATAAAATTACATTGTACTTTTTTATAACTGAATATGCTTGAACACAGACCTGTCTTCAGTAGAGTCCTCCCGAGCATACGGGGAATTACGAATTGTTATTTCCATTCTTTGATCACGTAATTCTCCTTCTTCAGGAGTGTCCCGTTTAGATTCCCGTTCATCCGCCTGTAAAACAGGGTCCTGTGTGAACTGTGGGACACAGAAAGCACAATTTTTAATATCCAGCAAATTTAAAATTTCATTGTAACACTGATTTGTCAAACTACAGCTTCTCAAGGAGGTCTCCCTAGTACTTGACTCTTTCTGTCCAATCCAAATGTAAACACATGGAAAAAAAACACCACACAAGATAATTTTTCTCATGTGTGCACAATCCTGTAGCAATCTGTCTCATGAGATCTTGTGGCACGAAATCTTGTCCCTTCCCTAATAATCAATATTATTAACTACATAGAAGCAGACATGAAAATTTTAAACAAACTCTATTTCCAGATAGTCATTCCATAAAAGAAATCACAGTAACCGCTGCTTATTCAGGCCTGTTGTTTGAGCTTTGCTTTGTGTGCGCTCCCAGTAAATTTGAGAAGGTCAGATCAATTGAGCAACAAAATTACACATAATTAGGTGAATCACTGGTAAACTTTTTATGAACTGACTAAATGAAAGGAGCCAGTGTGTCCATGGACAGTAGTTCCATTTGTGATTAAAATAGGCTAGGTTTTGGCTTGATATTGATTGATGAATACCTCCAAAGTTAAATTCAGCTCTAATCTCAATACACACACTCTTAAACAATGGTGTAATTACTTAATAATATCATTTACACATTGTATAAAAGCTATGTACATTTTTTTGCCGCTTGTTGTCAGACCGCTCTTCTAATTCTCTTCTGCGTTTCTTCTCCTGCAGGATTTCATCAAGAGTTTTAACTTTCCAGGAGTCCTTTTCGTCCCCCATCAGCGTCCAATCACCGCCTGCACCACACACAATATTTCAACATCAGTCACAACATTGCACAAGTACACAATGACAGAACCAGGACAAAGCAAAACATTTCAATAAAATCTATTAGTTTTATAATAGACGTCAAACGGCTGATAGATTATAGTTTCACAGCGGAGCAATTTATCATAAAGGCATATGTACAACCGTTACACATACACTTGTAGTTTGCAAAAAATATGTTGTCATCAGTGTTATTTATGCACAGTAATTTAGCTGTCAGATAGAATAAAGACCGCAGCAGCGTGTGGATCACAGAAAGCTTCACACGAGGTTTACGTTACTAATACGTTACAATAAATAGGTCAAGATGTAAAATCTTGCCAATTCTTTTTAAGATGAGTTCATAAGAACAATGCACTGGAGGTAAAGCCGCATTTGCCTCTTAAAAACAAACATCAGGTAAAAACATGTGTTTGCTGTTGTTATTTTTCTGAGGCTAACATGAGCGTTAGCAGACTAGCTTTAGCGATTGGCGCTAAAGTCACTTTGTAAAAAACTCGCTCCACTGAAGCCAACGTCGTGTGAACTTAGGACATGGTTCACAGTAAGAACTCGATTGCGATGTCTGATTTTCTTCGTATCAGCCCGTATATGTAACAAATAAAGTCCTGGAGTGAAGCAGTTAAACCAACCTGAAGAGCGCAGAGCGGTCCTATGTCACACCGGAAGTGTTCAAAGTGATGCAAAAGCAAATCGGTTTAGGGTCCTGCTGGAAACTTGGATTTTAAAACATAGTTCCGCCCTACTTTATTATTGACTTTGTGGGGTAATGGCAGGACAGACAAGATCAGGCTATATGAAATCACCCAGGCTCTTGAAAAAAAATGTTGGAAACTTAATAATGTACTCATGTGCATTAGAAGCAAGGATTACAAGCCAGTTGTCTGTTTTTGTAATGAAACTGGAAATAAAGCATGTATACAATGCATAACTCATGATGTCTCAAAGTTCAAATATCATAGGCTGTTTATGAAGTGAACAAACATGAACTCTCTATACCTTTGTGGAAATTACAAAAACTGTGATTGTATTAATATTTAGGCCCATAGGCTAGATGTGCAAATAAATCCTAAAACTGTTCCTAAATCCAAATCCTAAACTACATAGACTAAGGACAACAAACATGCTTGTAGTTTGTTGTTCTACAATAATTCACATTAAGGAATCTGGTCCATGTGCTCTCAGCAGCGGAAGTGTAGAAAGTAGAGATTAAGTTAAGCACCCGGGGTCTGGATTGCCCTTTATAACACAGTCATAAGCAGGTGAAAAACATTTTATGACTGGGTCAGCCTACTGAACTCTGACCACAGTCTCATAGTGAGAAGCAAAGCTCTTAGAACAGTTGAGTAGTTACATGTGCAGGAGCTCTGAGCTTCAGTCACTCTGCTTATGGGCACTCAGGTAAGGCAGTTTTTGTAAACCTATAATAATCACATTTTGACATATTTGTTTATTTATTTATTTTATTTTTCTGATGGTCAGCCCACCACTTGCTTGACTCCTTGGGGATTATATTGCTTTGGCTTCTTGTTTCACAGTATGGTATCAAACTTATATCTTCTGTTTATGCAATTAGATGTGTAGTTATTGCTAAAACGTACTGAAAAACATACACTGTTACGCCACAATTCTGACTTTAAGCTTGACCTGGTAAGTCACCCGGTGTCTTCGTAGATGGATAACTTCAATGCTGTGGAATCGTTTCCCGAAAGCAATCACATCTCCATAAAGAGGAGACTGTGTGTGTGAGATAGTCAAATTTTGGTCATGTGAAGGATAAAAGACCCGAGTTTCTAACTTTTTAGGCAAAATTTCAAATTAAATAAAAGCATGTTCTTTCAGTTAGATTAACTTTATTGCACTAAAAAAACTGTGTCCTGTGTGAATGTGATTTAATCTCCACAAACCTAACTCTTATTTGGCCTGTGGTCTCCTTCTGCTTGTTTTCATGGAAATGTTGTCTATAATCTTGCACATAATCTCATAAAATGTATCTATGCTCGTGGAGAATGTTACAAAGGATGGTTTCAACTTTATATTTCCATTGTAGCGGACAATGTGCCACCTCCAGAGAATAACATAGTGTTGGTTTAACATTTTTATGTTTTTATCAGGACTAGGTGGCTGAAGAGTGATTGGGGCAGGGGGAGATCTGTACTGACGCGTCCACATGGAGTCTAACACAGGAGCCAGAGTGCAGTATGATCGATGGAACGAAGACAACATCAACATGGACGTGGAGGCAGGACAGTCCACGTTTGCCAGGTGAGACCACAGAAATACAAAGCACCCTTCAAAATAATATGTTTTTAAATTGCCAGTAGATAAGTATTGCAGTGGCTGTATGGTAGGCTATTTTAATTAATGAACAAGAAAATTATGAATGTTGAGACATAAGTAGAAGATCATACACTGCCAAGGTGATTTTTATTTATTTATTTTAATTATATTTATGTTAGGCCTTTATTGCTTTGTAGTCTGACACACCTTTTTAGAAGGAGAGTTAAAGACTCAAGTAAAAAATAGAATGACAGTACTTTGTGTTTAGGATGTACAGCCGTGTGTGTGGGGGCAGTGCTGGGGTCGCTGTGAAAGCTGCTGGAGCTCTCGCTGCTCTGCTCTCCCTCTACATTCTGGGATATGTGACAGGATTCTACGTGCACAAGTGTGGAGTATAAGAATCAGTTTAACATCCTATTCATTTAGCTTATTTAAAATGTTAAACATGTGTTTCTTAAGATGTAAATGATGAAGACTTTTAGTTGATGGATTCTTTCCTTCCTACAGTTTATATTTGGTTTGGATTGTCTGTCTGGAGTTTGCACTTTTTCCATTTGTTTATTTTCTACTGCATGGGTGTTTCTCTCCTTATTGACCTCCCCCCCCCCCCCCCCCCCGATAGCTCATATCTGATCCATTGTCCCATGACAATGGTCCGGTCAAATTCAAGGGATTCATTTCCAGATTTTTCAGGCAGTTTATCAATATTTTAGCTATGGTGTGTATTTATTAAATGGAAGAGATTTTAATTTGTTTTATATTATGCTATAACAGGTACAAAAAGCCCAACCAGGGACAGACTGCATTGTAATTGCCAAATAAATAAATACATGGACATTAGCACAAAGTCTTATGCTTTTTGGATAAACTCTATCAAAGCATTGCCTTACACTTTCATATCTGATCACAGGATATGTCTTTATCTTTTATAAGATAAAGATAAGATAAGATCTATAAAATATACTCTCAAATTTTTGCAAGCCTTTGGGTCTATAAAAATGTAAAACTGTTGTATCTTAGCCACTTCAATAGGTTACATATCCTGGAAGAATGTATCCTTCAGCTTTGTTCTAAATTTGAACATCTGAAGATACCAGAGAGCACTACTCTCCCATGGATTTGAAACTGACAAAAAGCAATGCATAAAGGGTCCTATTTTCTGATCTATATTGTAATGTTGTTTTCTCATCAAATACAAACCTGGCGTTGTGTTTTGTTTCTTTTACACATGTTTGACACACAAACCCTGCATATTTAGGCTGAATTCTTCTCACAGATAATAGGCCTATTCATGTCACGTAGTAACTAGTACAAGACGTGCTCCACGGTATTTCTAAACTCCATACACCTTCACTAGAATAATTTCAGCCTTGGAATTACCCATCTCTACTGAACTAAAAGTAAAAGATAGCTGTTATCATTTTGAGCTTTGGAATACTAAAACATGTGTGAATGAAACCCATTATTATCATGATATTGAATTTAGATGTTGGTGAGGAGAATAATAAAAAAATACCATACCACAGTTTGAAATCATGAAGCAGTTGTTGCCTTTGTGTAGTGGAGTAGTTCATGTTCAGAGGGGGCTGATACGAGCCCTAGTACATTTTCTTAATTAATTTCTGTTTATCCAGCTTCTCATAAAAGGGAACTCTTAATCTCATGGACATGACAAACATTAATGTGAATCTGCAACCCACTTGTTTTCAGTCAAATTAACCATTCTGAGAAGAAACTGGATCAGTTTGCACTCCAAAACCCACCCCTCAAAATAAAAGAAATACCCACTGATTAATGAATTGTGTGTTTTTTGTTTTTTGTTTCTTTTTACCTAATTACAAGTCATTCAACTTCATGTTTAGTGAGATCTACATCGGTTTTGATGTGGGAATTGTCAGGACTCAACAATTTCAATCTGCTGTCTCTAAGGCCAACCCCAGGGACACCACCTATACCCATTCTTATATTTACCCCCCAAAATTTGGGCAGAATTTGAAATCTGACTTTCCTTGCCCAATTCTTTTGCCCAATTAAAATTAAAGTACACAAAGACTGTGCAAAACTTCAGAAAGAGTCAGCCCACCATTCGTCTGTGCTCCAAAAGGTTCAGAAACAGATTAACTTTGAATTGAGAGTTTTTGATTTGATTTGTTTTTATTTCGAGTTTGTGCTAAGAGAGGAACAATAATCATAAACATACTACATACATTATAAACAACAGAAAAGCACATTTCTTGAAAAGGAAAAAAAACTTATATTAACCCACTCTTGTTCATTACATAGTTTAAAAAATGTTAAATAATATGTGGTTGCTGTACATTGATGACGAAACTTTACAAATACTATGGCAAAGGGCAAATACTGTATTTGCCTATAGTAAAATAAATTACATACTATGCATACTAAATATAATTTTAACCCAGTTTTTTTCTTTTTTTTTTTTGTACTTTATTGTGGTCGTACAAACTACTAATAAAAGACATCTTAGTCTGATATTTTAGGACAAATAGGCCGAAACAATAAGGGTATATATATGATTTATGGGGTGTCCTCCTGGCCGAGGGGGATTCCGTCAGAGTGACGTCAAGGAGCGTAGCCTGAAGGGGCGGGACTTCAGGGTCACATGCCCCGCCCCCCGCTCGCAAGCCCCGCCCCCCGCCCGCAGCGTGTCGCGTCTGAGAGAAACATGAAACATGGATGAGGAGGTCGCCGAAAGTTGGGAAGAAGCGGCTGATAGTGGGGTAAATGTACAAATCAGTTCATATTGTGAACTTAAATAGTTGTTATTGTTATTAAAATCTTGAATTTTTAGAACAGAATCGTACAGTGTGTTTGTAGATGATTGATCTAAGGGCTAACAATGTGGCTAAAGCTAACGATAGCATGATGGAACTTGGTCGGCTAAAGTTGATCATTCAAAGCACAAATGACACTGTGGTGTCGTTATTGAGATTGTGCTATAATAACATGCCCTGAATATTTTTCGCGTGCGTTAGATCAGTAGCCATTTTAAGTTGCACGAATTTGGTGAGAGTAAAGTCTTGGTTCAGTGAAATGCTATACTGACGTTAGCCCAAGTTAGCATTAATTTAGCAAGACAATTCAATGGATTATAATTTTATGACAACACAGCACTCAAATTATATTTCAGTTCGAGTGTGATCTTTTAATTGCCTATAAGTTAATTAGGGGGTTATGTGTTTCGGTATTATTCATTTATATATATATATATATATATATATATGTATATGTTTTTTGTTTCGATTTATAGTAGTGAAAGTTGTGACATGGCTTATGGCAGACTGCTTGAATAAGGAAACTCCAAAACAATGTGGGCCATTGTTTAGTGAGCATTGTGTCTTCAGTTAATTACTACTGACAACAACTATTAAGCCTGTTCTTCTGTGCTATCATTCTAAACAGTAAAATAAGTGTTAATCTCTAAATAAAATAAGCTTTGCAAAGGTAATTATATAGCCAATATTTTATCATATTTATGTTTTTGAATTGGTCTAGTCTATGAACCCAAACTTCAACCTAACTTTACCTAAACATGGTTAACACGGTCTTACAGTAAAATGTGTCTACGTCACTTTCTCAGTGTTGGCTAAGTGACTGTGTTATGACTTGGCAGCTGTCCTGCACATGTATAAATAGCTTGAAACAGAACCCAGCTTTCCATCAGCTCATGCACTTGCCTAATAACCTGCTGCACTTACCTTGTTTGTGTACTGCTCTTAACACATGTTCTGGTGCTCATTATGTTAACATGAGGTTAATTCTTCCCTTTAGGAAATGGAAAGACGGTTAGAGGAGAAGCTCAGGATCGCCCAGAGAGAAAAGTAAGGACAAACCATTCCTGACCCACATTTGAATTGGTGATTACATCACTGTCCACTTCAAACACATTTAGTGTGCTTTGAGTTTGATGCCAAGGTTCACAGTCAATATTTGTAAAACAAATCATTTCAAAAGGAAGAGATTTTAAAAAGTTTTTTTTTCTGCCATTATAACAATTCATATTTTTAGTAGCTTGATACTAAAGCTTGAAAATGTATGTAATTGTTTAAGGATTTTGAAAGAATAGAATTGAATGATATTACTGTGTGCAGTAAATGTACTTATATAAGTGAGCATCAAATTAGAAAAGTCTAATGAAACAAATTCAGACAGTGTATTTTTATGTAAATGCTCATGTCTTGTGTAGGAACTCCAGTATCGGTTCAACGAGGTCCCCTCTGCGGACTGCAATGGTGATACAGGATGAGTCCCAGCCAGCAGCCCCCCCTCCTCAGATTCGCATCTTGAAGAGACCCACAAACAATGGGACGCTAGGCTCCCCCCTGAACCAGAGCCGGCCCACTCCCCAGGTGAAATCCCTGGCTCAGCGCGAGGCTGAATACGCAGAGGCCCGCAAGAGAATACTGGGGAGTGCCTGCCCCGAAGACCCCCCTCAGGACAAGGCCAGCACCGACCGGTAATGCACATGCTCTGTTCTGACAAAGTCTTAAAAAACAGGCTTTCTTATATTGTGTAAATTGATTTGATTGAGGAAGGATGTGGGGGGCATGTTAAAAAGGGCAATATGTGGCTTGTAACTTAGAGGTTTTTTGTAGCTTTCTGCCGTGTTATAACATGTAGTAACATTGGTAATTTATGAATCTCTCCCAGGCCCTATTCATACCCTCCTTACAGTAAGCTGTAAGATTCTGTACCATGCTCAGTGCTACGTCATCCATGCTCCCACACAACAATTCTTTTTAATATACAAAAGCATGATAAAAAACTGTACACAACAAATCTGATGCGATGTGCAGTAGTTTCATTAGCAGGCTGCACACTGATTGTGTTGTAATAGCGCTCTGAAAGGGGAATAACTTGACGTGAAGAGCTGGAGACACTTTAAATACTTTAATACATAGTTTTGGGTGAATATAGCATTTTCAAAACTATGTCATTCATATCACCTGCCGTTATTTCTTTTGGTTGCCTGTTACAAATCCCAAACCAAACTTCGTTTTTGAAAAGGCAGAACAATCTGTGAAGTGATAAAGGAAAATTTTAGTATTGTGCTGTTGTTTTACGTTGTACAAAGGTTGAGACCAGATATTATGTGCTTTAAAGACAATCTGTTCTGTGTGCACAAAGGCATTGGAACTGTTTTATTTTTTTTTCAGTTGTTTTAGATGAAGTGTTCAAAATTGTCCAGCCTAACAGTTGGTGTAACTGCTGCAGTTAAAAGACTAGCCATACTTTCAATTACATAATTCCAAACAGAAATATTACCATAAACAACCACGTCATGTCATTGACACCATGACTCTAAAGCAATTAAATCCAAGTTAAAATGTTTTGTAAACAGTATTATTGGTGATTTCGGAGGACTGGTCCCAGATGTTTTACAACAATATATATTTTTAGGTGTTCCATTGTATCATTCTCAGTTTGCCTCATTAGTTTAGCTGCATTGCTGAGAATCTAGAGAGTTCAAATTGAAGTAGAAGGGCAATGAAGCTGGTGAAAGAGGCTGTATGCTTTTCACACGATCATTAAAAACAAAATGAAACCCAACAAAAAATAAACTGATTATTGTACCCCAGTATATTTTAATATAATATTGGTATAAATGGTTAGAGACAAGATAATTGACAGTATAGTCTTCTAAAATGAGTCATGGATGGTTATTATTCTGACCCGCTAAAGATAAGATGATTACTTAGAGTTGGAGTTACTTTATTTTGAAGATTTAAACATTTAAGAAAGCACAATATATCATCTCTATACTTGGAAAGACATTCAAAACATGAACATTTAACACAGAAAGAGAAAAAAAAGCTAAAATGCTTCCTTTCTAAGTAACATAATATTATTGTGATAATCATATCTCCAACCCAGCTCAGTCTCTCATTTCCTCGTTGTATGTGTTGAGTTTGGAAATGGTGGGTTATTTAAAGTGCAAAGACATCTTGTATATCTGAGGTAGCGTCTATGACATTGTGGTACAGTGGTTCACTCTTCCCACTTCAGCACAGCGGAAAAACATGATTCACCTGAAACTCAAGTGCGTATGACTGAAAGGTTTTGATGAGTCTGTAATTTCTACAGAGGTTGGTGGAATAAAACCGGTTGTAAATATACATTTAAAGGTTTACATCAATCAAGAAGCAGTTTGTGAAGAAAAGGTTAAAAATATGTTGAAAATTACAGGAAGTGCAGCCTTCTATTTTAGAGAGTTCCACAGTGATGACATTGCATCAGCACAATTTACACAAAATAAGCACATTTTAAATATTATTTCAACAAAATAAAGATGTTTACATTTTTATTTGTCAAATAATAATTTTTGTGTAAATTAGAGGAGTTTCCTAGCATGATGTCATGATTTCCAACCAGGAAACAACATTTTAAACCTAAAAAAATTGCCAAATTGAGGGAAAATGATAGACTTTAAGATCACCACACCATTCACTTCTGCTTCTGCTCAACACTGATGTTTGTGAATAAAATGTTCAATTCTAATGTATGTATAAACTCCAAATTAGGAATTTATTTACAGACAAAATAGCAAAATAAAAATATCAGGATCATGAAGAGCGAGTTAATACGAACATTTTAAGACCAAAATGACGAGGCGCAGTGCAGCAGTTACAGAGAGAGGAGTGAGGAGTTTTTCAGTGTAAAGTCAATTGAAGCCAGAGTTGATGGAGCCGGAAAAGCACCCATGAACACTTCCTATTTGGAATGTGGCAGCTTGTGGGCCAGATATGTCCATTTATCTATCTATGTATATATATATGTGTGTGTGTGTGTGTATATATATATATATATATATATATATATATATATATATAATGTACACAGTTTATGGTTTTACTGCTCTACTTTCTTTGCTCTGTTTTTGATTGTAAAGTCTATTCAATTCTGTTCTTTCAGCAAGTCGGGGCGCAACAATAACTCAACACTGCCTTCAGAGGACTCCCGATCAAACAACCATGTGGTGCGCCAGCCGGTGGGCCCAGACAGCACCCAGGGCTTCAGGCAGCACAGATAAACAGCCCACAGGAGCTGTTCAGCGGAGGGAGCAGAACCACCCCAAAGACTATGTACTTCCTCCTCTGAACAGCAGGGGGAGCTCTCCTCTTCTTCCCCATTTCCAGTCTGTGAACACTGTGATGAGGACTCACTGTGATGATGATGATGATCCCTTTAAGAAGTGCCCCCGGCGGTTTCAGGCACCCTCCAAACAAAAAGGAAGGACTTTTAAAGCAAATTGGATGGGGGCTGGGCGGGTACTTTACAGCAATAATCTCACACAACTTCTCACGGTTTTGTTTCTCCTTAAACTTTTCTAGGGATGCACTGACACATGGATTTTAATTTTCCATAGCAGAATGGATCAGTATATCAGATTAAAGTCACAGATATGTTCTTCAGTATGGTTTGTAGTCTTAATTGATACCAAAGTTCCTATTCAGCGCCACCTGCCTTAAAGATGCTCTGCGGAACTTTTCTGTAGGAGGGTCCGCTAACTTCTTGTCTCCATTATTGCTTTGCCTGGAATGTTCCATGGTATAACATTAAACATATCCATTTTGCATTTATTCATTACGGGTGTTTCTGTTGCTCAAAAATACAATAATTCCTTCTGAATAGGGGCAACTCTCCACAGATCTGAACTGTAATGTAGCGTAGTGCTGTAACCTGCTTGTCTCCCTTTCAATAGATACGTTTAATCTATACTGTGGAACATTCTAGACAAAGCAATAACATTTCCATGGAGACATGCAGGTGGTGGACCCTTCACCAGAAATGTTATGCAGTCCACCTTTAATGTTTGTTCCTTTGTTTCTCCAAAAAAAAAAAAAAGGATTTGGTGGAATTTTTAATGTTTTTTTCCATGGTTTTCTAATACTGTGCACCTCTGAACAGTATTTATTCTAGTAAAATTGTGTAATTTAAGCAAAACACGTGAACATTTACGAACATTTACTGTAAATCTTCATCGTTTCAAACACCACAGGGTTATAGGCTCTATTCACGCTTACGTTACAAACCAGGAAGACCTTTGGAAACATGCAACGGCAACTTCCGGCGGGCTCTGTTTGCGGTAGTAAGTCTGACAAAATCTAGGAAAAATTTGAAAATTACGCAGTTTTCTTCATCTACTTGTCATTGTAGCGTTCTTTTATGTTCGTCTAATCAACAATTACAACCACACCTCGGTTTTCATCATTTCCTCACTGACGCACAACTCCGAGCACACTGGGTGCATGTGATTAGAAGAGATGAGGCGCCAAATTCAAGATGATTCCAAACAGCACATACATATGCAGTCTTCATTTTACCGCTGATCACATTTACTTCAATTGGTTTTAATAGATCCACAGTGTCAGCAACCACACCAGAAGTTGTCATCGCATGTTTCCAAACATATTCTTGGTTTGTGACATAAGCGTGACTAGAGCCTATTCGCAAATATAGTTGAAGATCTTATGATAATCCTTAAAGGTGCACTGTGTAACTTTTCTAGTGGAGGGTCCATCAAATGCTTTTCTCCGTGGAATTGTTATTGCTTTGTCTGGAATATTTCACAGTAGGGTATTAAACCTTTCTATCTCTCTGGAGACCAAACCAGGCCAAGTTTCAGGTCAGATCTGTGGAGAGGCAACCCCGCTCACAGTCAGAATGTCTGTTTTTCTAAGTATTTTTGAGCAATTAACGTAAGGTAGATATGTTTTAATATCATACTGTGGAACATTCCAAGCAGAGCAGTGACACAGTGCACATTTACACTCAGATTTCTTTGCAGATGTTGTCAGTGTGTCTCTAGCAATAGCCATTTTTAATCAAAGGTGATGGTTGTGTCAAGTTTAATGTAATATTGACTTTTGTTTACATTGTTTTTTTTTTTTTTTAAACACCTTTTTTTAGCCGTCTTCCCCAGATTTTTAATTTCTATTTAAAGTCAAAATCGGCATTTAGGTGGATCATCGAATGGTTTTTGCTTTTTGTATGAATGGTGTCGGCATTGTTTTAATCCAAAATCTTTTTAATGTAGATTCAGCCTCTGTGGGTTGAATCAGATTTAAAGGTAGGGTCAGGAATTAATTTCTTTCTTCATATTTTTGTCGCAATAAACATCACATCTGTCACTTAATACACATAGGATCTCAGGCACCAGTGATTTGGGAGAGATTGAATGAATGAATGAACAAAGATTGTATTTTTGAACGCTTGGCCCCGGCTCTATCCCTTTTTCCACAAAACCATTTACCATAAAGGTGCACTGCGTAACTTTTCCAGGTTGGGGGTCCTACACCAGTGGAGAGTTTATTGCTTTGCCTACTAATGTTTCATAATTTGGTATTAAATATAAAATGCATTTATTCAATTATGGGTGTTTTTATTGCTCAAACATGAATTGTTACTGTGAGCAGGGTCGCCTCTTCACAGATCTGACCTGGAAATTGGCCTGGCGGTGTCTCTATGGTAGGGGTCTCTAACCTTTCTCCTCCGGTGGGCTACTTTTACAAAACAAAAATGCCAGAGAGCATTTGAGACGATTATAAGAAAGAGGGCGAGCCTTTGGGTACAGTTAGATGCATATAAAACCTAAACCATTGTCCATTTATTTGTGCATAATGTCAAAATTATACTTTTACAATGGTAATAGGCATGTAATTAAAGAAACGTTTGTTATTTAGCACAATGGTATAATTCAGAAATCCCTTGGCGAGCTACTTGGAAAGGGGTGGGGGAGCAACAGGTTGGAGACCCCTGCTCTATGGGCATTGAAATGTTAATGCCACACTCTGGAACACTGCAGAGGAATTACATCTCCATAGAGATAAGCAAATAGTGGGCCCTCTATTAGAAAAGCTACATAATGCACCTTTAACTGCCCCTGGCGTTTAGTTCAGTGTAGAATCTTAAAGCCATACTGAGTGGTGCACATTGTCAGTAGAAAATAATTGTGATGATTGATTTAAGCTTGTGCCTCCTGTGTCACACCTACTTACTGGTGTTTTATTTTGCTGTAGTTGTTGAATATCAGATCTCAGAATAATACTGGCAATTTTCAGTTTAGGAAATCCAGCAGCAGGAGATGAGCTCTGAGTGAAACACAAACTGCCTGTACATAATGATTTAATAAAATAATTTGCAACAGAGGTGATGAGTGTTTCTTTGTAAAACTAGTGAAGCCTTGGCCCAGTTTTAACACTTTATGAAAATTATGGTTGTGTATTTTAAGAAACACCAATGGTAAATTTTAGTAAATACAAAATCGTGTAAGATTCCTATGGAAGTATAAAAAAGAAGTGTGTTTAAAAAAAGAAGACATTTAAAAAAAATAATCTGTCTGACCCAGTCACAATATCTTCATTCTGCCTCAAATTAATGCATAATTCATGTGAGACATATTCTGAACAGACAGCTTTTATTTAGTTTATTTTATCAGAGTTTATTTATGTAATAATGGCTTTCTCTTATCATTAGTCCCTTCTACTTTCTGTTTGAATCCAGAAAGGACCAGAACTGGACCATAGAGCCTGAAAAACCGCTGAACAAATTTCAGATGATCCAACCACAACTGCTAATTTGTATCATGTGTCTCTCAAATGTGGAAGACATCGCCTCTTAAAAAATCTTGTAACAAAATATATAGCCTCTTTTACCTGAGGTGTAATAGTTTGGTGCTTCAGTTGTTGATTCTGTTACCATCTGTAGCAATGTTTTTGACCTGAAGGGACCAATGCGTCTCTCTGATCGGTTAATCTGTCAATCATGCCTCTGTAAAGTTTTGTCAAAGCATGTGGTTCTGACTTGTCTGGTAAAGCATTCTCAGGTCTGATTCATGCTTGTTTGAGAACTTAGTGCTTTAAAAAAATCTGTTTGACTTTCCCAAATTTTTACTTTTCCCCAGCTTGTCACCCATGTGCACTGGGTTCATAGACGTCACCTACCCATTGTTTGTTAAATAAAAATAAACTCACTGAAGATGGGCTAGTATTAAAAAGTTAGTTCTGCAGTTTTGAACAAGTCAATAAAACTGTTTCTATTATCAGATGTGCACTAGATAACTTTGTTTAGGGGTTCATCACCTGCTTGTTGCTACTGATATGTCACCTTACATTTATTTACACTGATATACCTTACATTTGTTACATTACAGGTGGTTTTATAGCTCAAAAATACCTAGAAAAACAGGCATTCTGACTGACTTGGTCTGGTTTGGTGAAGATGGAAAGGTTTAATGCCCTACTGTGAAACATTCCAAACAAAGCAATAACATCTCTATAGAGAAAAGCATTTGACGACCCTCCACCAGAAAAGTTACACAATGCACCTTTAAGTGGTTTTAGATCAATATTTTGGTTTACAATATTTGCATGTGTTCCAGAAGAAAGCCTGTCCACTCTTTAAATAAAAAATAACTTTATTCATACAATAATACATAAAGTACATTTGCATCATGATTGTACAAGCCCAGTCGGCCATAAAATACTCGTTCAGGTCTGTGATTGAGTAGTGTTCTGAGTGAACGCTAGCTCAGATGGAGGACTGTGTTGTGGCTGGGGCACAGGGTCTGGTTTAAGGGAGGCCATGATGACTCCGAAAGCTGAGAGTCCAGGCGTTTGTATGGTTTCTTGGACTGGCGTCTCCCACGCAGCAGACGCAGACAGTTCAGAAGGCCCAGGTCTACCAACAACTGAAACAGCACAAGGAAAGAGGTCAGACTTCTAATGGCTGTGGGAAACGCATTGTGGATTCAGATTGTTGGTAAAACATAATATAATATAATAATATTTCAAGGGCCATATTAGGCAAATTTCTGATCTGTGTTATAATGTTTCCTCATCAAAAACATGCCTGAAGTTGTGTTTGGCTTTATTCTCAAATGTTTAACACAAATCCTGCATATTTATGTGTGTTAAGTGTTCTTTTCTCAAATGGAAAACACTCTGTCTTGTCGCTGTTAACTTAAAAGCTACCACTACATGACATCACAAGGTGGAACAGAGCATTTTGAGCTTTGCAGAGGTAGATAGACTAAGAATAAACAAATACTCAAACATGTGAATGAACAAAACACAATTCTAGGTATGTTTTTGGTGAGGTAACAGCATTATAACATGGCTTAAAGCTCACAAGAGTAAATTTGTGTAATATAGGACCTTTACTGTATTTATTAGCATTTGCGTTTTAATTTCTAAAGTAAATGCAGGTGATGTGTCTTACAGTATTTTGTTTATTGTCATTATTCAATGGAAATGTCTCTAAGGACAACTGGGCATTTTTAACAGACCGGAAAGACCACACAATGTCTGAGGAAAGTGAGCAACAACATGACTATGATTTAGGAGCAGGACCACACCTCAACCACCCCCTGCTCCACTCCATACAATCACGGCTCATCTCAACCACGCTTTCAATTACCCTATTTATACGGCCTATCCGGACATCACCCTCTGTCTCCGCTCGTCCATCCTTCAGCCTGAAGACATCATCTACAAGGACGGGGGGTTCCTGAATCGGCTGGGTGACCATTTTGGATTGGAGACTGAGCCCCCACCCTGAGTCTCACATCTATCCACCATCAAAAAATATCTTTATTGTATTCCATTGTTGTGGTGTGGTGCTTGCTAGTGAATACATTCCTGAGGAGTTCACTTTGTCACATAAGATAACAATTAAAATGTCACTTACTTCCATCAGTAAACAGGTGAAGAAGTTGAGGGCAGCCAAACCGACAAGCACAAATTTGAAGCCCATATCGTCCACAGGGTACAGAGATAAGAATCTTCTTATGAAAGCCACAGGATACATGACCAGCCAGATCATGAGTGCAGAGAAAAGCAGTAGCAGCGCCAGGAACCAGCCTGCACACACACAATCACATTTAGACTGTGAAAGATGCACTGTGGAACTTTTCTGGTACAGGGTCTGACACCTGCTGGACTCCATGTTGTTTTTTTCCTGAAGTGTTCTACAGTATGGCATTTAATTTAACTATCTCCAAGGAGACAAGTTACAGGTCAGAACTGTGGGGAAGTGAGCCCACTCACAGTAATAATGCATGTTATTGCGGTAGTTTTAAAAATTCAAAACACCTAATTGAATAAATACATCATATATTTGTTTCATGCCATATTGTGGAACATCCCCAGCAAAGCAATAATATCACCATGGAGACAAGCAGATGAAGGATCCTCCACCCGAAAAGTTACACAGTGCACCTTCAACACACTACAAATACTGCCATGTGTTGTAGTGAAGATTTGATGAAAAAACACTATCTCCTTTACATAAAATGATCATGTGACTAATAATACAAAGGACCTATTCCGATATTGGAGACACTTCACAAAGTGACATTTCAGCAGCACATTTTAAAAGAGTCTATATTACGCTGTTTTTTTCTCATCAAAAACATGCCTGAAGCGGTGTTCTATTTCATTCACACGTTTAACACACAAATCCTGCATATTTAGGCCGAGTTCTTCTCTCAAACAGAAAACACTGTGTTCCACCTTGTGATGTCATGTGGAAATACAGTAATAATCCATACACCTTCACTAGAATCATTTGGATAATTTCAGTGCTGGAATTTCCAAACTACTGAACTAATGGTAAAAAGGTAAGCTAAAAACTCTTGCTTCATGACATCACAAGTTGGGATAGAGCATTTTGAGCTTTGGAGATGTAGACAGACTAATAATGCAAGATTACTCAAACATGTGAATGAAACAAACACAACTCCAGGTATGTCTTGCAGTCATTATAACATGGCTTAAAACTCACAAGTCAATTTTGGGTAATATAGGACATTTAATGTAAATAAAACAAACTCAGTACACTACCATTATAGTAGAGCGGTTTCTTGTGGGGGTGGGCCTTTGTCACAACTATTGCCATAAAGATGTACTGGAAACCGGACACTGCAAACAGACTGGTGTCTTCTATGTTGGGCCAGTTATCTTCTCCAGGTATTGTTCCATTGATTGGGACATACCTATGGATGGTACAAGATATGAGCTTTACTTCGAATAGGCCCGTCACAGTAACACATTTTGAAGTACGATATATTGTTGAAATTAATATATAAACGATAAACGATAATATTGAAACTAATTTATGCTACTGACACAATAACCCTATAGCAGTTATGCTCAAAAACTATTCTAAATGTATAATATAAGAAAAAAAACACAAACAAATAATAGCAGAATTAATCACTTTAGTAGATAGTGTGTACATATAATGTACAAGTTTTTTATTCAACCCTCTACCAGAGATGTAACGATATGTAAATAACATAATACGATAAAATTATGATATTTTTTACGATACAATTGCAATATTGTAGAGAACAGAATTGAAGAAATGCTACTTTTTCCTTAAAAGGCATTGACTTGGGGCTACATTAACGTCACGGTCCAGAATTGAGATAGAACATTTCTTTATAACAGTTATTTCTTCATGTTTTCTGCATTGAAATAGAACAAAAGATCATGGTCTATGTAGTTTCCTCTATTTTTCGAACTGTTGTTGCAATAAAGCAAAGCGTTTACACAAAGAAGCTTATAATTTGATAAATTGTGACGGCCCACGATATTATTGAAAGAACTTTGACAGTACGATATCATGATATTTTGATTATTTTTTACAACCCAAACCTCTACAGCTCAAATCATGATCATAGTACAGAAATATACCAAAAAGTTCCTCACTAGTACAACGACAAAGTCCAAAATGTATTGTTCCATCTCTCATTTACTGATAAGTTGATATAGTAATTATCGCGGCAGACCTAACGGCGACTAAAGGAGTCTGTTTGTACAGTTTGGTTTTGCACTGACCAGTCTTGGGATATAGTGAAAAGAATGGCTCCCGTCTGTCCCAGAACGACGAGAGAGGCGTGGATCAGGAGACTGCCCAGGACTGGGAGAGACCACAGACTGGCTGGAGGTCTGCGTGTATGGAGTTCATCGCTGGGGCCGCCTTTCCCCATTACGATAGCCAGAAAAGTGACAAGAACCAAGTCAAAGAAGAGGAACTGCAAATCTGCCAGGTTTGTTCTCATCTGGATGCACACAAAAACATGACAAACGTTAATTACAGAAACACTCTTGGTGTTTCTGTAATTAACCGTTGTCACTGAAAGTGAAAACGAGTGTATTTGTGTTAAAGTTGAATTGTGTAAGGTCTGGTAGAGGGTTGCCATCTGCTTGTCTTCATCAAGATGTTCCACAATATGGCATTAAACGTATCTATTTTCATAAATACAAGTATGTGACAAAACCAGGCAAAGTTATAGTTCAGATCTGGGGACAGGCAAGCCTGCTGAAAGTTCAGATGCATGCTTTTTAAGGTATTTCTGAGCAATTATACACTGATAATTACAATCAATCCAAGATAAATGACCTTAATGCCATACAGTGGAACATTTTGGACAAAGCAGGTGACAGACCCCCCCACCCGAAAGTTACACATTGCATCTTTAAATCTTAACAGCAAATAAACCAAACAAAATAGGTTAGGCTTAAGACTTTGCAAACATGACAAAATGGGACTTTGAGCGTACTCACTGTGTAGAGAATGAGGACAGAGCAAAACTGAATGAGGCTGTACAGGGCCACGTATCTGAAGAGACTGAAGGACGTGACCAGAGAACAGCGACCCTCCCTGCACACACACACACACACACACACACATTCGAACAGTAGTTAGACATGATACTCTACTCTCCACACCACCTATAACATATATCAGTATAACAGAATAAAGTGTCAAATGCCTTCTACAGTATGTGCTTTGCAGTCTGTGATTCCAAAGGTTCTATACAGCCCCACATAGATTAAAGTCTATTCATTTGTTTCTCAAAAAAAAAAAAAAGGATTTGGTGGATTTCCATTTTTTTCCCCCCATGTTTTCCTAACACTGTGCACTTTTGAACAGTCAAACTTCTAATAAAACTGTGACATTAACAATTTAGAATATTGTAAATCTTCATAGTTTCAAAGACCGTGCAATTATAGTTGAAGATCGTGTGGTCTTCCTTAAAGGTGCATTGTGTAACTTGTTACTGCTTTGTCTGGAATGTTTCACAGTAGGGTATTAGACCTTTCTACCATCATGGAGACAAACCCAGGCCAAGTTACAGGTCAGATCTGTGGAGAGGTGACCATGGTCACAGTCAGAATGCCTGTTTTTTTAGGTGTTTTTGAGCTATAAAACCACCTGTAATTTAATAGACGTAAAGTGGATCTTTTTAATATCATATTGTGGAGCAATGACATATCCACAGAAACAAGCAGGTGACAAACCCACTACCGAAACGTTACACAGTGCACCTTTAAACTCAGATTTCTCAAATGTTGTGAGTGTGTCTCTAACAATGCCATTTTTAATCAAAGGTGTTGGTGGTTGTCAAGTTGTAATACTAAATTTTGTTTACTTTGTGTTTTACACTACGGAGCTCTCTGACCTGATGAGCAGAGGGACACAGCTGATGTTCTGGATCTTGGAGGTGAACGGTGAAGCCACAGACGCCTCGGCCTCAGACAGAGAGATGCCCACATCAGCAGCTCTCAGTGCCCCACAGTCATTGGCTCCGTCTCCACACATGCCCACTCTGTACCTTTGGGGCAAACATCACAAGTTACTTTTCATTTGGCAGTATTCAGAGTTCAGTTTCTTTTCTAAACTCAAAGGAATACAGTGCTTGATCACAACATTTAGGCTTAATCAGTGAGAAAAATAGAAAAACACAGATCAGGATTTTTTTCTTCTCCAGTCAGTAATAACAAATGTAAAGCTGTTTTCATAGTTAATCCTGTTACGTTTTTACTCTATAATTTAAATGCAACTTGTTGTAAAAGTACTCTAAATATTCAGAATACTATACTCTGATTGAACCATGTATCAGAATACCTTACATTTTAATGCGGGCATTCAGTATTCTGTAACTAAATCCATTTTCAAAGTATTCTTCCCATCACTCAACGGAGAGGAGATGCAACTCACTTAAGTTTTCGTAGTTCCGTCACCAGCTGGGTTTTCTGATCTGGAGCCATGCGAGCAAAAACTGTAGCCCTCATTAAAACCTAAAAAACATTTGATCAAATGTAAGTTAATAGTTTCTGAATGTTCTTTGTAATTAAGTTGTTTTAAATGTGCTATAAATATGAACTGAATTATGTGCCCTTACCTTAGGTAGTTGGTCTGGGAAGTAGTCACTAAGAACAGCAAATGACTTGCCGTTGATGGCTAAGTGATAGTTATACCCACTCTGGTACAGACCCTGATAACAAACCACAATAAAAACATGTCAGTCCACTGATCTCATCTGTGCTGCACTTATATTGTTCTATTAGGGATGTAACAATATCTAAATCTCTCTCTATTCAAAATTGTGAATATACTATTCTTCCTTTTTAAAATGCCTTGACAAGACTTTGGTTCGGTCCTCATCCAAAGAAATACGATTCAAAAGTGCTTATTCCTTCACATAGTCTGCACTGAAACTACAAAGGATCATGGTCTATGTAGTTCCCTCTGTTTTTAGCCACTGCTGCACCATAACAATGAAAAGAGACTTGTAATTCAATATATTGTGAAACTTTTGATGATACAATATCACAATATTTTGGTTATTATTACATCTCCATGTTCTATGCCACTGTTTTCATTGTGTTTATGAACATGAGTCTCTCTTGTTTGCATTCGGTCTTGGGGGCAGACTTACATGTGTGTTGATTTCTATACTGTCCTGAGCAGCAGCACCATCGTCCGCCAAGCTGTACCTCAGAGTGGGGCGAGACTGGTCAGTGTGGGGCGAAGCTTTGACAAAGATCACTCTCTCATCAGAACCAATCATTCCACAGCTCTTTGCAACATTCACTGCAGTTAAGATGTTGTCACCTGCGAGCACAGAGAAGCACAGAGTACAGCTGTAAGTGTAACGAGTCTTCTGAATGGGGTATGTGAAAAAAAGTGCTCTGTAAAACTAATGCATTATTATTCTCTCTGTGTCAATCTGCTTCAATGAAAATTATCCCAAATCACAACAAAAAATTAAAGAAAGTATAACTGAAAAACAATATTGCCTTAGCTTCTATTAACGGCTGGGTGATGTGGACAAAAATTTTTATAATTTTTTTGGTACACACTGGATAATTACGATTTTTATAGATTTTAATTGAAGTCAGAAAAGGGACTGCTCGTTTTTCAAATGGCGGAAGTTCTAGACATTTTCATTCTTATCGTATCTTATTATTTAAGAAATTGTAAACTACCCAATATTACATTTATATAGATCTTTAATTTCAACTGCACAGTAACCCTGCTTTGCAATTTAAGAAAGTCTGGAGTAAACTGGTTTCATGATTATTCTCAATTTCACAATTTTTCAAAATCTCGATGTGTACAAACCCCAGTTAATCAAATTAATTACATTAATTGCCCAGCCTTACTTGCATTTATGAAGAAAGGCTTTAACATAGCATCCATACCAGTGACCATGATGGTGCGCAGACTGGCCAGCTTCAGCATGTTAATGACACTGGGAGTCTCTGTTTTCACCAGGTTCTTCATCATGAGGAGGCCCAGAAAGTGCAGATCTTTCTCTACTTCCCCTCTACGGAGTAAATGCATTACTGTGTTAATGCCAATGCTTAATGTTAATGTGCACTTTTAAAAAACGTTTAGGCTTGACTCACCGTTGGATGGTGTTCAAGTCTGTGTCTAAAGCTATTGGTTTGTAGCCAAGTGCAAGAACCCTCAGCCCATCTTTGGAGAAATTCGACAGTGTGGTGGTGAACTGTGCTGGCACTGAAACAAAAAAGGCGAGTGGTTACTAGTTTATTGACGATGCACTGCTCAACTTTTCTGGCTGAGGATCCATGAGTCGGTTGTCTCTGGGGAGATATTATTGCTTTGCTTTGTTCTTATTGCTAAAAAATACAACATTTCTCTCTGTGAATAGTGTTGCCTCTCTACAGATCTGACCTGTAACCTAGTGTTGTCTCCCTTGAGATAGATAGGTTTAATCTGCACCGTGGAACATTCTACACAAGCAGGTGATGGAGCCTCCACCAGACATGTTACACAATGTACCTTTAATATATCAGTCATTTAACATTGACCATAAAAATGAAAGGAAATCATAAAATCAGTCACTGACCAGTTTCCTCTTTGCAAAGGCTCGCCACCATCTCTGGAGAGCCTTTGAGAAACGCTACCACAGACTGTCCCCCCGGGGTCACAGTCACTACGCTCATCCTCTGAAGAGCCGAGCTGAAAGGAAACCGCCGAACGATGGCCACAGCCTGTACACAAAAAGCATTGTACAGAATCAGCACTGTTGCTCAAATATGTGTTTTTATTATAATGTGAAATCCTACATTTGTGTGCTTTTCTGTGGGAGGCTTCATCACCGCCAGGACTCTGTGACCTCCAAACTCAGAATTCAGAGTTTGTCTATTCCCTTGAGGCTCATCCAGAATCTGCAAAAGAGATACAAAGTAGATATGAGTTAAACAGTTTGAAGTTTTAGTTTTCACAAAAAGATTAAAAGGTCATATATTATGCAAAATTGACTCTAGTGAGCTTAACGCCATGTTAGAATGTTGCTACCTCCTCAAAAACATACCTGAAGTTCTGTTTTGTTTCATTCACATGTTTGAGTAACCTGCATTATTAAGGCTGAATTATAGTTCTGCATCGACTCAATGCACATTGCCACCGTGGTCTTGTCGCTGTCGTTTTTGATCTGCGTTGAGGTTTAACATGCAGTGAAGCAATTGACCACTACAGCGCTAAGGGTTGGATTGCGTTCATGTATACAAAATGAAGCAGGAAAGCAGAGTATCAGAGATGTATGTAGAACGGAGTACTGGAAATGCATGTAGAGAGGACCAATCACAGCCCTTATTGTCTGCGATTTGACGCACAACCATAAATTGGGCATTAGTCTGTCTACATCTCCAACACTCAAGTTAACACCTTTTACCTTTTGTTCAGTAGGGATTGGTCATTCCAGGGCTGAAATGATCCAAATGGTTCTAGTGAAGGTGTATGGAGTTACAAAACACAGTTTTTACTTTGAGAGAAGAACTAAATATGCAGGGTTTATTGTGTTAAACGTGTGAATGAAACAAAATACAACAAGATGTTTTTGATGAGGAAATAACATTATAACATAGATCACATAATAGCATTACAAGGGTTCTTTTAGCTTAAAATAATGAAAATGTAATTATATACATGTTGTTGTAGCTAATATACGCGTGGATGGCCCTTTAGACATGCATAAATCAGAACATTTTGAACAGGAAATGCACAGAATCAACAAAAACATAGAATTAAAATGAATTACCCAACCAGTGGACTCGACCATCTTGAGATCCAGGGGGTCTCCGAGTGGGTTCCCGTGCAGCAAAGTGAGTGTGTGGCAACAGGCTAGAGCCGAAAGCACAGGCCCCGGAGGGAGGCAGGACGGGTTCGGGACCAGCTCCGAGAAACCTGCACTACTGCCCTCCATCACACCCCACACATCCAGGCCATCTTCTGTTAGAGTTCCAGTCTAAGGGGGAAAATAGTAGAAATCAGTACCTAGTAAAATAATTATGGAAGAATAATTAGATCTGTCACACTAACAAACTTTGAAATTCAATATATTGCTGAAGTAAATACAGACAATAAACAATAAACATTGAAACTAATTTATGACACTGACACAAAAACCCAAGAGCAGATTTAAACCACAAAAACTATTCTAAATCTACAATACTGTTAAAAAAATGCAATAAATAAACAACAGAATTAAACACTTTAGTACTTAGTTTGCATCTGTAATGATTACACACATACTATAAACTTTTATGACCCCAGGAGGAATAGCTGCTGTCAAAAAAAATCCATAATGGCCTGGAAATGCGAATAAACAAACCTGTAGACTAATGTGTGTCTGGAGAGAATGTGATGTTCTGGAGTGAATGAACTGATAGATTATTTTGATAATGGATCTTGATTTTAAGGTGCTTAGAGAACTGAGTGTGAATGATAATACAGAATTTTTATGATGTTCAGTCATTGTAAAGACAGTTTGTTTGTTTGATTTTATGAATGTACAATTATCTCTCCTGATAAGGTTATTATATATTGAGTACTTTCCCTGCCTCATTAAATAAATAAACTAAATTAACTTTTACTTGTACATATGCATTTATATAATTACGCCTTATTTGACACCAGTCTCTTCCTATTTCTCCTACTTATTTAGAATTTATTATTACCCTTTTTTCTTTGTTATTATAATATATTATGATGTGTGAGCTACTGTGTCCAAGCAATTTCTCTTATGGATCAATAAAGTGTAAAGTCTATGTCTGCAACAAACAATCTATGAGCAACTCCACACATTAAGTTTTCATTTACCTTGTCAAAGCAGAATACAGACACTTTGCCGCTGATATTAATACGAGGAGGGCTGATGCAGAACACGTCCAGTTTCTTGAGTCTCTGTTGAGCATAAAGAGTGGCTGTGGTGATGGCAGCGGGCAGGGCCGGGGGCACCACGATCGTCACAATGTCCAGGGAGCGGACGATGATGTCCTTCAGAGAGGCCTGAGCACAGCAAATGATACAGGAATGAGTCAGTGAATGGTCAGACTGGCAATATGATTTTATTAGACACTTACATTGTATTTGACCAACAGGTGAATGCTGTAAATGGTTCCCATGCATGCTAAAATAAAAGACACATCCTAAATTTAAACTTGAAGGCAAAAACAACAAACACAGTGAGAGAAAAACTATAGCACTTTTATTCCTTACCTATTAAACCCAGAAAGAGGAGAAACTTGGAAGCATCTCGATTAAAGCGAAAGTCTGAATCCTGAGGATACAAAATGGAGCTCACCAAATTTCCTTTGGCTGTGAAAAATCCTGTAACAACAGTTTGAGAGCATGGGTCACCTCTGATGGACAGCAGTTTCAACATGTTGGTGCAGTGAGTTACCAGTGCTGGTTACTACAGCGACTGCGAGGCTGCCCTCCGGCCCGTCTCCTTTTCCCTGGATGACCTGAGTGCCACAGAACAGTGTGTATCGGCGCTCTTTTTCAGAATTGTATCTGTGATCTCCGGCAGGAAGAGGTGTTTTCAACACAGGAACACTCTCACCTAAAACAATTGAAAAATACAAATAGTAGCCTGTACTAAAGTAGAATATAATATTTTAGGAAAATCTATATTGCAAAGATGAGTACGCAACCATAACCAAAGAATTTACCTAGTGCTAAAAACTATAGTAAAAACATTACTGATGACTGTTAACGAGGAGACATTGTTCATAAAAAGAACATACTAAAACTAAACTTCTCTGTGCTGTTTCCTCATTGTGGGATAAATAATAGTAATCTCATCATCTTAATTTGCTTATGTACCACCATATGTGCTGACCATAGGAAGATTCAAGATAGACAGATTCCTATGGTGGAATCCTGAACTATGGCTGTATTAAAGCATCAAATCAAAGTTTATGTTTCATTGTATGTATATGTTTCAGTTTCATATTTTTATTTACAGAGTCATTAGAGCAACTCCCAACAGATGTTACCTGTGAGCATGCTCTCATTGACCAGACACTCCCCGGTCAGCAGGGCGGCGTCACAGGGCAGGAGCAGACCCTCAGCAGGGATCAGTATACAGTCTCCAGGAACCAGGTCCACTGAGCTCACCACCTGCTCCTCTGACAAAAGCCCATCATTAACATTCTTCCACAAATCGTTTCAACACGCTGCACCTCAGAGCCAGTACCACTACAGGGTTACACCGTCTAATGTGATTTTAACCCATGTTCCCATTATATGCATTGGACTGAATTAGTGTTGCATTTTGAATGAAGTTTTTTTTCCATCACTTGTGTGGACATAATGACACTACTATAACTTTACTTGTGTTATACCCTATCCAGGGTTTCATTTTGCTCTATGCTGTAACACTGTCTCACCTCCTGAGCTTTTACGGATCTTAACATCTACAACCAGACGGGCCATGTTGTGAAGAGTAACACTTTGCTGAAAAGACCAAGAGAAGTTAGTAAAACTACTGGTAAATGAAATTTATTATTTATTAATTATTCTAAGCATACCTTACGGATTTCATACAGTGAAACACCAATGGAGATGAGAGAGATCACGATTATACAAACAGCATAATAATAATAATGATCAGACAACCACAGACAGACGCTGGCTAACTGGAAAATGTAGAAAGGATTCAGAACCTGAGAGAGAAAGGGACAGTTATAAGACACTTTCTTCATAAAACATTATTTAATGTGATATAACTATAATACCTCTTCAAAAAGAAGTTGGATATAAGACTTCACAGGCACATCTATAAGGTTGGAGCCATACACTTGTCTCCTGAGAGACAGAATGGAAGAGGTTGAATAGTGCTTCTTGTAACTCAATTTTTTGGATTTTAGCTAGCTCCATATGTGACACACCAAACATTTATGTCACATAAGCAAACTATAAACCACTTATAAGAATAAATGAGAAGAATAACTTTATGTACATTTAGTTAGCCTCCTCCCACTAACCCTGTATGTAACCTGCTGTCTCGCTCTTACCTGAACATCTGCTCCTGAGGGCTCAGCCCTCTTTGGAACTCATGCAGATCTTGGCAGGTCCAGTCCTCATTGAGGATACTAAAGAAAAGAAAAGATAAATATGACATTATATTCTTTTGTAAAATAACAAACAAAACAACACCAACAGTATAATGGAGACAAAGGTAAGCTAATACCTAACACGAACAAATGATCCCTTTCTGTCCAGCCAAACATATCGCAGTCCATCAAGAAGGTAGTAGCGTAGCAGCGTTTTCTAAAATCACAAAATCACAAAACATTTTAATTTTACATACATTAACATTATTTACAGATTTTTCTAAAGTATAAACCAGTCTGTGTTTTCTGTACCTGGTCCTGCTGGTACAACTGAACAGTGTCTCTTGACTCAGTGTCATCCAGCTCTCCCAACATCTCCCAACTGAAACACACACACCGTAATTGTCACAAATGTTTGTCCAAATATTTGAGCAGTAATGAGGCGTGATTATGGCCGACCTGCCCTCCTCCATTTCTTCAGTGTAAACTTTTACTACATGCTGCTTGTCACCGCTGTCCTGAGAAAACACACGTATCAGATATATTGGACCAATTAATAATATAAAAAAAAGAGAAGAAATAAAAAAAGAGAAGAAAATGTAAATATAATACAACTTTTAAGCTTGTTTACAAAGCCACACAAACCAGTTTCAGGCTGACAGCCCAACTGTGTAATTATAGCCTACTGTTTGTGTATTGTTCAGATGTATTGACATATGACATTTCAATTCAACAAAAGGGAAGGGACAACATAATAGTGTCATATATAAATACAGCTGTTTGTTATTCCGCACTGACCGTTAAAAATAAAGTAATATCCCGTTACCTCATCAAAAAGAGACTGGGAGTTGTGTTTTGTTTCACTCACACACATTTAAGTAATTCTACATCAGCAGTCATGTCATGAATCAGTAGTTTTCACGTTGCAGCTCCTTTTATCTTTATTTCAGTAGAGATGTGCAATTATAGGGCTGAAATTATACAAATTATTCTACTGAAAGTGTATGCAGTTAAACACAGTAGAGCACTTCCAGTACTACCACCATAGACTGTATAAAGAAACTAAGCAAGTGTGACATCACCCAGAGCGTCACCCACAGCGTTCAGCGTCACTTAAATGAAGCTTGTGATGTTAGCTGCTACAGGGCGAATTTGGAGCCACTCTATTATGAATAAGACCTTTTAAATGGACAAAATAGTGAAATAAAAACACCAGTGTCGTGTAGTGCGTGTTAGTACAAACATTTTGCAACCAAAATGACGAGGCTCACAGGAGCAGTTACAGGGGGAGTGGCCACAATATTCCAATGAAGTCATTTGGAGCCAGGGTCAGTAGGAGCTGGAAGAGCCCGCACGCGAACTTCCTATTCGGAACGCAGTGGCTAGTGCATTCGCTATGTCCATTATACAGTGTGTGCTTATAACATGACATCGCAAGAGTGTTTCCTTTTTGAGAGAAGAACTCAGGCTAAATATGCAGGATTTGTGTGTTAAATCTGTGTGAAAAAAAAACAAAACACAATTCCTTGTCTTTTTTTGATGAGGAAACATTATAACTATAATAATAAATATTGTAATATAGGCCCTTTAAACTAAGCATTCTCATTTCACTTTGTCACTTTTATGCTGACCTTAGGTGCTATTAAGTAATACTTGGGTGCAAAAATATGTTTTGAAACCAGGGATCAGTCTGAGCCTTACTCGTATGAGGAGGACTTCCGCCAGTGCCAAGGGACAGGAAGAGCAGCGGGCGAGGACACCCAAACGTGGGCGCCAATAAAAAAACAAAGCGAGGAGCCCCCCGGTCAATAAGGCCAGCACCCGGCACAGCCATACACGCCATCGCACCCACTTGTAGCCCCTCGCATCCTGCAAACACAAAAAAAATACTCTTTTTAGTTTTAAGTCATGTTAGAATTAGGGGTGTCAAATTATCGCGTTAATTGCGATTAATTAATTACAGTCATATTTAGCGCGTTATGTTTTTTAATCGCGTTAATCTCATTTTTAATCTCTAAATTTAGTGTTTCTGTATGTGAGTTGCTTTATTATAAAACCTGTTTTTATGTGTTGATGGGACAACAACAACACACACACACACACACACAGAAACACATTTATACATTTTTTTATTTCAGTAATTCCACTCATTGCCGGAAACCCACACAAAACGCGCGCAGTAAGAGAGATATAAATGTCATATTCACGTTGGCGGCGTCAGTCGCACAATGGACGAGGTCGAAGAGCCAGTAGAACAGAGGCAGCAGCGCACAGGTAAAAACACATTCGTGTCTTGGAAATTATTCTCCCGACGTGAAATATAAAAGAAAATAACAAATATAATATCGCCTGAAAACAACCTGCATAGGCTCATGATCTCTGCACTGCTGTCCTATAGTGACCTGCCACATGAGGGGACACGCACACAAACAAACACAAACAAACACACACAAACACAAACACACACAAACGTCATCGTCATTAACCTGAGAACGCGCGGACCACGTTTCCTTCCGTAGACACTGCGCGAACACCGCTGTCCTCCCGTGAGCCGCGTATGGACTGTGTTTTCTCGCGTACGCTGTGCGCCTCTAAACCAGAACTAACACCAAGACTAAAACCAGGACTAAACCAGGTCTAAACCAGGACTAAACCAGGACTAAACCAGGACTAAACCAGGACTAAACCAGGACTAAACCCAGAACTAAAACCAGGTCTAAACCAGGACTAAACCAGAACTAAACCAGAACTAAAACCAGGACTAAACCAGGACTAAACCAGGACTAAAACCAGAACTAAAACCAGGACTAAACCAGGACTAAACCAGGACTAAAACCAGAACTAAAACCAGAACTAAAACCAGGTCTAAACCAGGACTAAACCAGGTCTAAACCAGGACTAAACCAGAACTAACACCAGGACTAAAACCAGGATTAATCCATTCCAGGACTAAACTAGGACTAAAGTAGGACTAAAGCAGGTCTAAACCAGGTCTAAACCAGGACTAAAACCAGTGATCTCATATATAAAGTATTTCTCTATCAATAATATTTTTAATATGGTTAAGGAAAGACTGATCTTTTTATTGTCTTTAAGTAGACAAAAGTTATTATGTTCAGATTTCCTCGTCTTTGCTACTTTACAGCAAACAGTTTCTTATTCATGGAGACTTGGGCTCAACAGCCAAATTGGAGAGATTTGTTAAACAATAAATGACTTTATAAAGTCACTTTTTTAAATCTATATCAGTCTTTTGATCTGCCACAATAATGTAATAATTAATTTAAATGAAAATACCTCAAATTGAAGGCTTTTCTCAGATTAAAATGAGATTAATTAGATTAATTAATTACAGATCATAATTAATTAATCTCTCAATTTTTTTAATCGCATGACAGCACTAGTTAGAATATTGTTACCTCCTCAAAAACATACCCATAGTTTTGTTTCATTCAAACATTTTTAGTAACCCTTTATTATTAATCTGTCTACATCTACAAAGCTCAAAATGCTCTGTGCCACCTTGTGATGTCATTAAGTGGTAGTTTTCATGTTAACAGCTACCTTGTACCTCTTGTTCAGTAAAAATTGGCAAGTTCAGATCTGAAATCATCCAAATGATACTAGTGACGGCGTACAAGGTTTAAAAACACAGCGGAGCACTTGCTGTATTGCCACATTACATCACAATTGGACAGTGTTTTCTGTTTGAGAAAAAAAATTGGCCTAAATTTGCAGGATTTGTATGTTAAACATGTGAATTAAAGAAAACACAACTCCAGGTATGTTTTTGAGATGGAAACAACAATGTAACATAGACCAGAATATAGCTTAATATAAAGTAATATAATTTAAAGAAACAAAAGTGTACAAAAGTGTACAAAAGTGTACTGCATATTAGTTTTAATGATAAAAATTGGTTTTGAATGAGTATTGAATTGCGTATCAAGGTTTTTACTGAGTGGATGTGACAAAAACACTCTTAAAAACATGCAACCTGAAAAATGGGTAGAAACCCTTACCATGTGTGAGTCTGGACAGAGCAGAGGGCAGTGGGCACAGGGGGTGGGCAGCTCACTCGGGGGCTCCCCTCGGCTCCCTGCAAAACAAATACAACAATTACCCACATCAGTAAATCCAAATCCACTACATTTTATAAACAAATACAGTTTCAAAGTGCTGCACATAAAAAGATAACATTACAAACAACAAAAGGTAAAGACGGATTATTTATCAACACAGCGGATGCACGTACAACCTGAGTACAGAAAGCGCCTCTTTCTGTGCGGTTTACATAGGGTGACCAGATTTTGAAAATCTGGGATGGTAGGTATAAATAAAATTGTGAAAAAGTATGTAGTATTGTCCATTCTCGACTCACGTGTGGGTCAGTGTGGAACCTGAAAGACAAAATACAGAAGTGCAGTCTTCTGTATTTTAGCTAAACAATCTGATTTAGATCTGGTTTAGAACGGATATAGTCCTATTTTAGCCCAAGTTTGGTCCTAATTTAGACCTGGTTAAGATCTAGTTTAGACCTGAAATATACCTGATATAGTCCTGGTTTAGTCCTAGTTTAGTCCTGGTTTAGATCAAATTGGTCCAAAACAGGGACACCTGGGACATTTCTTGTATAAAACTCGGACAGATCAATGATTTTGGATAAATCTGCTGGGACACAGGACACAGGGCTCAAAACTGGGACTGTCCTGGGTAAGTCACCTTAGGTTAACATGAAGTTACAGCATTAGCAAGCTAGTAGAGCATGACGTGATGTAGTGATAATACAACAGAGGGTATGAATCATAAAACTATAATACCATATAATATAATATAATGTGATGTAATATAATATAAAATAATAAAATTGTATTTATTTATTTATTATCCAAGGTATGAATGCTCAATTTAAAAGGTGCACTATGTAACTTTATAGTTGGGGGACAGTCACCTGCTTGTTTCTATGGATATATCAATGCTCTGCCTGAAATGTTCCACAGTGTGACATTACACAGCTCTACCTTACATTTATTCAATTACAGGTGGCTTTATAGCTCAAATATACCAGAAAACTTGTAACTTACATAGTGTGGTTTGGTCTCCATAAAGATAGAAAGGTTTAATGCCATACTGTGAAACATTCCACACAAAGCCTTCACCAGAAAAGTTCCAAAATGTATCTTTAACCTTGCCAGTCCTAAAATAATAATGAAATGAAAATAAAAATAACTCAGAAACACAGAGGACCACACAACTCAGGCAGTGTTAAAAGCCAAAGAATACACAAGACGAGACTTGAACTACATTATGTGGACAACTAGTTAGTAGGATGTGCAATGTTTGTGTACCTTGAGGCACACCTAAAAACAAACGAACAAGACTATTGCCAACAAGTAGTTAATTTAAGTTAAATAAAATGTACTGGCAATAAAAATACAAATTATATAACGTAGATTTTTATTTATCAATGAAAAAGATAGTAGTACTTCCATAGACTGTAGGGCACACTTCACTATTATTTTATTTTTTTAACGTTATATATGCGATGTGTTGCCAAATTACAAGGTATTTTTGTCTTGAGCGGAGACTTTAACCAGCCCTGAAGACATTTTGAGAATCAGATTTGTAGTTTCAAAACAAAAAGAGAAAACTGACGCTGAAAACGACGCAACCAGACAATTTTATAACCCGCCAGTCAGTCAGAAAAAAAACACAGATAAAAATACTTGTTATCTATATCTTTTAAACTTATACAAGCCCATTTAAAAGTACAATAAACACGCAGTTAAAGCTTAACCAGGAAAGAAATAACCACACAACTACGCAACTAACAAAAGATGACGCGATGTTTCCGCACCGCAAAAACCCGAAAACGTACTTACGTAATTCCTAAACGTGTTGTTTTTTTATGCATAAAGTTTTATCAAAACATGAGGTTATGAAGGTATGAAATCAGCGCACACCTGTCCCGGTTCTTCGCCGCAGCAGCGCACTTCCGCCGGCCAGAGGAGAGAGATCTTCCGCTGCTCTACCTGTCCAACCGGCTACGCTCATCCCCCTCTCCAAAGACTAAAGGCGTTTACCAAGGCTACAATTACATCTAAACTCAATTGAGACATCTAGATTGTGTAATTAAGATGAAATTAACCAGCCAGTTAGACCAGTCGCAACATAAATTGGATGACCAGATGACCCTATTTACCCGGGACAGCCCCCGTTTTGAGCCCTGTGTCCCGTCCCAGCAGATTTATCCAAAACCATTGATTTGTCCCAGTTTTATACATATTTTTATAAGTGTCCCTATTTTTGACACATTTGATACCTGCCTACAGTATAGTAGTAAGAGATGCTTAAATTGTAATTTGTTTTGGTAAAATACAGAAAAACTGCTTAAAAATGGCCAAAACACAAAGAAAATGCAACTACCCTGACACACTTTAGTGCTGAGTACATAACAATTTTCCTCAATTACACACTCGTGTACCTATTTCATTATTACCAACCCAAACCAGGAGTGTCCCAATTTTTGATTTTGAAAATCTGGTCACCCTAAACATAAACAAACCGTAACATACTGGTGATGTCCGACAGGCTGCATTATACTGTTCATAATGTTTTTCCTTTTGTGTAAGGTGACACATTTTTAATTAAACGGAAAAGGGAAAAAGACAGCATTAGTCAGGGTTTTCTTAGAAACAGTGACCTTCTTGAAATGCAGCCTGAAGCGCTGAGTACAGACAACACAAAGCAACAGCCACAGACTTGAATGAAACACTATAGGAGTCAAATAAGCTTAGAATAAGCATAGAAAATATTACAAAAGCTTTGCATGGTTCATCTTTTATATTTCTAAGTATACGTTTACATCATGTTCTAGAGCTCTGGGATTTCCCTCCATTGAACTGTTTCAAGGACAGTCTGTGGTGAATTGACAAAAAGTTATGTTTTAATAGCCTTTTACAAGAATTTTGACATAAATGCTTTTGGTCAGGATGTCTTCAAAAAAAAAAAAAAGGTAAACAAAGTCTGACAAATACCCATTTAAATGAATAAATCTTTAAATGTGTAAAAATGTGTGTAGGCAAAATTATTTAAGAGTAATACCTTTGTTAATAAATCAACACGAAGAGGATGCAACGTTCTTCTATTGGTGGTTTTCAGATAGAATGTGAAGAATGTGAAGAGCCAAATTTCCCTTTTGATTACATTGTACTTTGTGATGAAATATCCAAAAGATAAATCCATAACTGCTGACCCTGATATTTTCAATTATTGACTTAACTCAAGAATTCACTGTATTACAACAATTTAGCATTTTAACAATATTCATTTTAGCAATTTCACAGATGACGCAACATTCAAAGTGACAAACAAAACTATAGTGGGTCAATGGTGTGTATATAATGATATTTTCTCATTATCTAAAATGTACAAGAGCAGAAAATACTAAATTCAAGTGGCCTACCCTTTTCAATACCTTTTGGGTTCACCATGCAATGCATCCAAAACAACTGAAGTGCAAAATATAGAAGTGTAATGGTATAAATATGGAAGGTAATACTTGAAAAAATGTATATGCCTAACTCTTCTTAGGGGAAGCATTTTATACACATGCAGATGGTAAATTCCACCTTTTAAATTAAATGATTAACCCAAAACCAACCATAAACCGGTCTGGTCTGGTTTTGTTTTTTACAAAATGGCAAAGTCAAGCCAAATGCACATGACAAGGAAAGAGGGTCATGTGAAAACTGCTGCTTGCGGATGGTGACTCATTAGATTTCAAACCTTAGTGCCCACAGCACAGACTGAATAAAGAAGTGGACTAAGGGAGTTTGACTTTCCCCATAGCGTTCCAGTCAAATGAAGCTCACGAGGCTGGCAGTTAAAAGGGTGAATTTGGAGGCAGGTCCATATTAGGGTTAGGAATTTATTAACAGATTAAATAGTGAAATTAGTTAGCTCTGTTCATTTATACAGTCTATGATCCAGGGAGGGAAATGTGTGGTGAAAATGTGTAAAATAAACAAGTGCAGAGTTTCCAAAATTCCCTTGGGTCTGATTTCAGCTTGTCTCAGGTAGCAGCTCATTGGATGGTTGACTCTCCAACCTACAAAATGGCTTCCCGCTGAAAGTTGTGATCAGTGGTGTAAGAAGTACACAATATTGTTACTTAAGTAAAAGTACAGATACCGGCGCAATAAAGTACTCAAGTGGATTTTTTCGTGTGATACTTAAGTAAAAGTATTACACATATTATTATTATGTGTTTAAAAATGTACTTAAAGATTAAAAAGTAAAAGGTGTTTCACACAGATTTTCAGATCTAATAAAGTTTCAAATGTGACAATTATGATAAGGGATGCACCAATACAATACTGGTATCGGATATCGGCGCCAACATTGATCATTTTGGTGGATCGGATATTGCCTCCCACGATATCAGTTTAGCCGATATCCCATTTTGTTGTATAAACTGGTTTAATAAGACAATTTACTGGTCAATGTTGGCCCAAAACATCAAAGCTATTCTACGTTACAAACTACATTTGGATAATTTTTTATCTTATGCTGTTTGTGTTAAAAGGAAAGAAATGCTATTTTCAGTCCCTACACTGGTACCGGTTGATGTCGAGTATCGGCAAATACTTAAACTGAAAGTATCATCTTCGGGATCGGAACAGAAAAGGCTGGATTGGTGCATTCCTAATTTTGATATGGATTAGTTCTAAATTGTGTTCAACTGAAACAACTGCATTTATAGTTTTTTCCTATCTGTTTTAATTTGTATATTTTTGTTTGCTCAGACTATGAACATGTTAAAATTAAACTCATCCTTTTCAGCAGGTCTCACACTAATTAAAAAACACTTTTCAGTAGTGTTCAAACATATAGTGGAGAAGAAAGTACAGATACCTGCTCTCAAATTTTTAAAGTAAAAGTAAAAAAAGTATGCACTTTAAAATTTACTTAAGAGCAGATGCGTAAAATGTATACATATACAGTACTTTACTACTTTACTACTTTAGTCACGATTCACCACTACTATAGTTTCGGATTCAACCTGAAAAAGGGAATTGACTCTGCAGTAAAGCACAGAGAAGAAAGGTCAGCAAAACACCATGTAAAGAATATATAATATAGGCCAATGGTGAGGTTGGAAACCACACAAATAACGTTAATTCATTGCTATAAAAAAACAATAATGTGTTTCATGCTTGTTTATAAATTAATCTTCCGGATAATAAAGTTTATCAAGTGCCGTATCAGTGACACTTCTGTTTAATCTAATCTAGTACAAACTGTTAACCTAATGTACTCAAGGCTTATAAACAGAAAGCTATTCAAACATGAGTTATAGATTATTTATTTTCCATTTCCTTTCCGTTGTGACTGTATCAAATTTCTAACCCAATTTGTCAGTGTGACACTTTTACCATAATGTTGATCTTGTGGTGTTGAAGTACAGTAATACCATAAACACACAATAAAGAAATAAGATAAAAGCGCTAAAGGGCCCATATTACACTATTTTCTGATCTATATTATAACATTTCCTCATCACAAACTGGAGTTGTGTTTTTATTTATTTACTCATGTTTAACGCACAAACCCTGCATTTTTATCAGTAATTTCTCAAACTGAAAGCACCCGGTTCCACCTTGTGATGAAATGTGATAATTCAGGAAGTGCTCCAATATTTTTAAACTCCGTACATCTTCACTAGAATAACAAAAACTTATTTATAGCTGTTATTTTCAAAACCACCATTGTATGACATCACAAGGTGGAACAGAGCATTTTGAGCTTTGGAGATGTAGACAGACTAATAATAAAGAGTTACTCAAACACGAATGAAACAAAACACAACTCAACTCCAGGTCTGTTTTTGAGGAGGTAACAGCATTATTATAACATGGCTTAAAGGTGCACTGTGTAACTTTTTGGTTGGGGGATCTGTCACCTTGTTGTTTCTATGGAGATGTCACTGCTCTGCTTGGAATGTTCCACAGTATGACATTAAACAGCTCTACCTTACATTTATTAAAGTACGGGGGGTATTTTAGCTCAAAAATACCTAACAAAACAAGCATTCTGTCTGTGAGCGGGGCTGCCTGTCCACAGATCTGACCTGTAACTTGGTCTGGTTTGGTCTCCGTGAAGATAGAAAGGTTTAATGCCATACTGTGAAACATTACAGACAAAGCAATGACATCTGCACGGAGAAAAGCACCTGACGGACCCTCCACCAGAAAAGTTACACATTGTTCCTTTAGCTAAAGCTCACAAGAATATATATATTTTTGAATATAGACCTTTTAAATCTAATCTAATAATCTATAAAATCATGTAACCTCGAACCCCTCTGGTAGCTAACAGTTAGCAAACAGCATTGCTCTGTGTCATGTCTTTTTGAGCCCCCCTCCGTGTCTCTGTTGACTTTATGGGCGTTTTAACAGCCTTACCACGCCTGTCCATCCTGGTGGAGCCGGGGACAGCCTTCACTCCTGTTTTCTTCACGGCATTTTATCTTGATGACAGCTGAACTAATAGTGTTATAAGCGTAGATCCACGATTTAACACAACGCGCCGCTTTCAAAACATCCACCCAGTGAACACAGCCGATACGGGAAGTCACGTGGACCAAAATTGATGCGATTTCTGTTTTTCCGTGGGTTAGGTGTAGGATAAAAACAAAAAAAAAAAAAAACTATAGTAATAAAAAATAAAATAAAATAAAAACATTAATAAATAAATAAAAATAAATACATAAAAAAAAAAAATAGGGTCTGGGATTCGGTATTCGGTTGGTCAATTTCCAACTTTACTATACGAATGATAAGATAACACATGTATATTACCCTGTGTAGGAGCGCAATGTATCCCTTGCATACGTGGTTAATTAAAACAGCTTTGGAAGTCTTCATCAAGGGATATTAAAGGTACACTGTGTAACTTTTATGTAGGGTGCCGCAACCTGTTTGTCTCCATGGAGATGTTAATGCTTTGGTTTCAGTTGTCCACAAAATGGTATTAAACTAATCTGTCTTGCATTTATTAAACTTTTATTAAACTACAGGTGTAAAAACATTAATTCTTTCTGCCTCTCCACAAAATCTAATCTGTAATTTGTCTTGCAAGCTGCCATGAAGATTCATAAACTTAGGGCCATACTGTGGAACATTCTCGGCACATCTCCATGGAGACATGTAGGTAACCAACCCTCTAACAGACAAGTTAGACAGTGCACCTGAAGGGAACCATTATTAAAAATTTTGTACAGTGAGAAAAAGGGTAGCAGATGCTTAGAAGACAAAATAATTTATTGTCAAACCTAAAAATTCCACTTTATAAACTTTATAATAACAATAACTTGATTAAAATAGATCTGATTAAGCTTTGTTTTATACTTTGTATTCATACACGTTGTATAGAAGTATGTAGTACTTCACAGCACTTACCGGGTTCACCAAGGTTGTCTTGAAATGTGAGCTGAAATGTGAGTTTTATGACTAGTGACCACATGATGGCAGCACCTCCATTGGAAATAAACTATCTCGCGGTCAATGATTGGAATGTACAGTATCAGATAGACAGCAGTTCAAACTACCATGAAGATTTCACACAGAGTGTTCAAATCGAGACCATTAAACAGAACTTGGCACAGTGGCCTGAGACACTGTTGGGCCATATACAGACTCATCATACACATCAGCTGCCATGTTTCAGTAAAGCAGGGGATTGTCCAGCACTGCCACTCCAGCTGCCACACCTCCATCTGCATGGACTGAACTTTTAGTCCTCAGCAGGTGTCCTACTTGCTCATTCATCACCATCTCTGTTCCCTGTCTGGAAACAAAGACAATTAATAATTAATATGAAAATTAGATATTACATCCACATTTCCATCTGAAATCATGATGGATACAGATCAGTCAGAAATGACCTTATTCCAGAAGTTGCTGTCATAATTCAGGCTGTACTATTTTGTATGGGGCTTCTGATTTTGACAGCAAATGAGTTCAATAGGGACTATAAAGCCATTTTAAAGCCTCCCAGAGAATCAGTCCAGTATTGACTTGTTGGTGCACATGAACTCTCAACATTTAAAATTTTAATGAACCTACTTTGTCATATTTAAATACAATACCTTTCCCAAACTCTCCATTGAAATTAATTGGATCCATGTTTAACCAATATGGAGATAGGTTAGTGTCTTTATTATCAAATAAATATCTTGAAAATACCTTTATTGGTCCAGAAACACATATAACGACATTCAAAAATATAATTCATGACTAACGAATAAATGTAACAACATTCACAAAAGCATTTCTCAACTCAAAAGAAAATGTTGAGTGTTTTTTCTTTTGAGTCGAAAAATGCTTTTGTGAATGTTGTTATGTTTATTTGTAAGTCATAAATTATATTTGTGAATGTCGTTATATTTGTTTCTGGACCAAGGAATGTATTTGTGAATGGCATGATATTTATTTGATAAAAAAGACACTTGCGTATCTCCATAAACCAGAAGTGCCATCACAAGAAAGTGCAGTTTAGGAACATTTAGAGACAAAAGTGAGTGGGGCGGAATAAGGTGGATAGAAAAATGTGGACACAGGCGCTTTTGCACACAGTCAAAACAGGTTTTGTGAGGATTAAGTTTAAAGTAAGCGCATGTTTTTTTTTTACATACCTGACGTACGCTCCAAACACCCCAAGCTCGCTCAGACAGTTGCTAACAGTGAGTGGACTATCTCGTCTCAGGAGGTAGTTCTGTGAAGGTGTAGGTTTGATTTTATCCATCAGAATATACATGGTCCTCTCTGATCCCTTTGCCTCCTGAAGCACCTTGCAGATCTCGTCTCCGTAAATGTTGTTACCTGCAAAATTAAAGTCACAAATTAACCAAGTAGCAGAATTTGATGGACCCTCCACCAGAAAAATTACACGATGCACCTTGCATTTGTGGATATTTTGCATTCATTATTCAACTATTGATCAGGTGATTTTTCTGGAAGCTGTAAATAATGTCCTCTTAGAGTAAAGCCATTTCAAAGCACTTCTGGCTCCATGGACTCTAGATCTAATTGACTTGACATTACAAAATTGTCACCCCTCTCTCTGTAACTGCTGCAGTGAGCCTCGTCATTTTGATCTTAAAATGTTCTTATTAACCACTCTACATGATCCTGATCTTTTTACTTTGATATTTTGCCCATAATAAATTCTTATTCCTAATATGGAACTAATCTGTTAATAATATATATATATATATATATATATATAAAAACATACTCTACCTCCTCCTTCTCTCTGAGGCTTTAACACATATCGCTCAGGATCTTTCAAGGCCATTGCAACAGTTTTGTCTCCTTCTGGACCCTAGTGACAACAGACACTTTAGAAGCACTGCTATACACCACAGTTTCAGTGATACAAGGTAGGCTTGTCACGATAACACATTTTAAAGCAAGACACCTTACATAGCAGAATAATTGCAGTAATAATTAGTAAAAATGGGCCCTCCACTGAAAAGTTACACAATGCACCTTTACATCTTATTACGTTATATAAAAATGGCAAAAGTCTCATCATTATTGCAAAGGAATACAACTACAGAGTAAAAATTGAGCCCCAAAATATTTTGTTCCAGCTTTTATATTGAATGTAGTGTCCCTGTTTTGACCATGAAACTGTGAGAAGCACCTGCTTCACTGTTGCCATGGTATCAGAATAAAATTTTAAATAAAATTTTCTATGCTTTGTATGACTCTCAAGGATGAATGACCATGTGCAAGTGTCACAAATTGTCTTAATTGATCAGCTAAGACACATAACCTTCGATAACTCTTAAAGTTTTATCTAATCTCAGATCTTTAGACACCAGAGAAGAGGAGCCTACGCTCATTTGCATATTTCATATCTAAATGCTGTCTGTTTAACTTGGTCAATAAATATTCATAAACCACAGTTTGCTTTAGTGAATAGTGATGTTATTTCCAGATATGGGTCACTGACATGGACAAGAATTAACAAACCTTCAGAACAATGGTGTAATAATTAATTAATTAATTAACTTAGATAATTTATTATATTGGATTGGTAATATTTCTCAACCTTTGTTGAGCTGATCCCTGAAACTGTACTTCTAGTCAAAACCAAATACTCACAAAGGCCATGTGAGTCCTGCTTTAACTCTTTAATATCAATTATCCCCTTTAATACTACTACATGAACGATAAATCGATATTGTACTTATCGTGAGAGGCCTAGTATTAGGAGTCCAGACTGACCATGTCAAGAGTGTAGAGACCCGCAAAGGTGGCTCTGATCTGCTCCACCACTTGGGGTTCATTGGGAAAGAACCGCTCCAGAACTCCGGGCTGGGCCAACACCTGCTGGATCTTCTTGGTGCCAGTCAGATGAGTGGCAATATCTGGGCATTTTATAGCATGGGATCGCTCCAACATCAGCCGAGTGTCCCAGTCCTAGAAGACATCGATCGTTAGAATAAATATAACACACAATAAAAATTTCCAAATTTTGCTATTGCTTCCCTTATAAATTCTTACATAAATATATCTACTTCTACTATATACTATATACTTATCAATACAATATGTTTTATTTTTAAGATCCAATATTATGCTAAATTGACTCTTGTGAGCTTTAAAGGTGGACTGCACAATTTTTCTGGTAGAGGATCACCTACTTGCTTGTCTCCATGGAGATGTTATTGCTCTGCCTGAAATGTTCCATGGTATGACATTAAACATATCCATCTAGCGTTTATTCATTATAGGTGTTTCTGTTGCTCAAAAACATAATAATTCCTGAACTAATCTGAACTGTAATGTAGTGTAGTACTGTAACTTGTTTGTCTCCCTTGTGATAAATGGGGTCAATGCATACTGCAGAACATTTTAGATAAAACAATAACATTTCCATGGAGACAAGCAGGTGGCAGACTATCCACTAGAAAAGTTACAAGTGCACATTTAATCCATCTTATAATGTTCTTACCTCATCAATAACATACCTAGAATTATGTTTTGTTTGAGCTTTCGAATCATGTCAGTTCTGAAGTGATGAGGTTTCTGAATAATTAGATCTGAACTGAATTTGCGAAGCATTTTGTTTTTAAAATCTTTAGCCAAACAGCAGGCACACTGGGCAGCCATGCATAAGAAAGTTTGTTTTACTCTCGGAAGCATGTGGCTCTTGGCTCAGAATAGAATAATATAGTTTCATCACATTAACCTCCCATCTGTGATTAAATACGGTCAGACTCCGCAACAGCCCGTAACCACTGAAACAAAACTATATAAAATTGATTATTTATATTTAGAAGAGTGAAATTTACAAAGTGAAGTTTGAAGTTTGGCCCGCAATAAGACGCACTTTAGTAATGCCCACTTTAGCACATACATGACCTAAGTCTGTTTCAGTGATTCACTGTGATAATCATGTGTGGTATGTTTATGCAAGTCAAGTAATTTAAATCAATTCAAACCTGTTGAGACGCATACTGCTGAGGGACATATCCATTTCTGTAGTACACCACAGCAACCTCCATGCCATCTCTAAAAGAAAAAGAGTAAATAGCACTAACAGCACAATCCTTTAAAGTTGCATTGTGTAACTTTTCTGGTGGAGGGTCCGTCAAATGCTTTTCTACATTCCTCTATGTCTGGTATGGCATGGTATTAAACCTTTCTATTATCATGGAGACAAAGGCAATGACATATCCATAGAAACAAGCTGGTGACGGACCCCTAACCAAAAAAGTTACACAGTGAAAATGTAAGTATTTATTTAAGATACTGTCATCTCGTATTTATGAGAACTTAGTAGTAGTAGTTATGAAAGTAATTCTGCTATAACGGGCCAGTTTTATCTCTGTGTAAAATGGAATTACATAATTAAAGCACCTATGTTAAGATGTTGTCTAATCTATGTTATAATGTTGTTTCCTCATCACAAACATACCTGGAATTGTGGTTTTTTTTTTTTCATTTGCACATGTTTAAATATTCATGGTTGGTGGGTAAGCGTTCTCTTCTCAAACTTAAAATGCTCAGTTCCACCTTGTTATGTCATCTGGTTATACAAGAAGTGCTCCTTTCCACTGTGTTTTTAAACTTCATAAAACTTCACTTGAATCATTTGGACAATTTCAGACCTTAAATTACCATTACTAAACTAAAGGTAAAACATAGCTGATAATTTGAAAACTCTTTATGTCATAAGGTGGAACAGAGCATTTCAAGCTTTGGAGATGTACACAGGTTAAAAATAAAGAGTTTCTCAAACATGTGTGAATGAAACAAAACACAACTCCAAGTGTGTTTTTGAAGAGGTAACAACATTCTAACAAAGCCTGAAGACTTTGGCATAATATACAACCTTTACTGTAAGTACTTATTTGAGATGCTGCCATGTGTTTCCAAGAAGTTACAAGAAAGTATTGCAGTATGGCAGTATTCTTGCTAAAACAAGCCGATTTTACCTCTGGGCATAATTGAAGTACGTATTTAAAGTAGTGATAAAATCTTACATAAGAAGCCTTTTCTCTTGATCCAATGAGCCTCGTGAATGCACATCTTCAAATGTTCTTCGGATTGTGAAGATATTTCTGGAATTAAAAAAAAAAAAGTTCAATCTTACACATTACAAGTCCAAATACTATATTTTAGTACATAGGAAGTTAACCACCTACAGCTTCATCAGTTCCATCTCAACACATCTTTGGTCATAAATATTTCGCTCAGTGTCAGACACCAGGACCAACACCACTGCTCTGTGAAAAAAACATAATTAAATATTACGCTATTTTCTGATCTACTGTATGTTATAATGTTGTTTTCTCATCAAAAACATATCTGGAATTGTGTTTTGTTTCATTCACACATGTTTAACACATATTTAGAGAATAGAAAACACTCCACCTTGGGATGTCATGTAGTAATACAGGAAATGTTGCACTGTGCTTTTAAACTCCACACACCTTCACAAGAAACACTTAGATCATTTTAGCCCTGGAATTGCCAATCTCTACTGACCTAAAGGTAAAAGGTCGCTGTTAACTTGGAAAATCCTGCTTCATGACAGGAACAGAGCATTTTGAGCATTTTGAGCTTTGAAGATATAGACAGACTAGTAATAAAGGATTACTCGAACATGTGTGAATGAAACAAAACACAACTCCAATGATGAGTTAGATGAGGTAACAACATTCTAACATAAAAACTCAGTCAATTTTGTGTCATATAGGACCTTCAAAATGTTTGATACATGGTCATGAATTATTGTACCTGTCTGATCCGTACAGCTCCTTGGCCTTGGCGATGGCTCGGGCCAGACCTGCTGCTGGGTTGTTGTCCAGAATGGCCATACTGTCCTTCAAACGCCCAGCCACTTTTAGAACATGTCTAATGAACAAATATCAACATCAGCAGTCTTTCTCCATAAATGTCAGGTTCAATGGTGGAAGAAGTACTTGATTATGTTACTTAAGTAAAAGTACAGATACCAGAGCATATAAATACTCAGGTAAAAGTAAAAGTATCACATGAAAAATCTACTTAAGTGAAAGTATTAAAGTACCGGTTTAAAACTGTACTTGTATCTAAATTAATTTTGCGCAGATTTTGAGATCTAATAAAGCTTTAAGTTTAGGGATTTTGATACAGATTTGAACAGAAAAGGATATTTTTATTCCAGGTGTTTTAATTTGTTTATTTATTGTTATATATTTGTTTGCTCAATTATGAACATTTTAAAAATAAACACTGAGCTCTTTGAGGAGGTCTCAAACAATGATAAAAACACTTTCACTTTTCAATCTTGTCCAAAAATGTAGCACAGATATAATGAAGTAAAAGTAAAAAGAATCGACCTTTATTTAAAATTTAAATGGACCTAAATAAAGTACAGACATCTCTGTACTTTACTACTTCTACTTTGTTACGTTCCACCACTGGTCAGGTTTCAAGATGACTATTATCAGTTTCATAATATAATAAGATTTAAACTATAGAAATCAGTAGTTCTGTTTTATTTATTTATTAGAACTTACTTGTGTACACTGACAATGCCTGCAGACAGCCCTCCAAAACTGGCCGAAATTGTGTTGATTTCAATCTGTTTGAGTGCGGAAGCCCCATCCTCCTTTTGGTCCAGCATGTAGTCTGACCTGTTCAGCCCCAGGACCACAGACTAGAAAGAACAGAAGAATGTAAAGAAGAATGAACTGGATGAAGCACAATTTGGTTACTAAAACATACCTGAGAGCGGCCTTCCTTCAGTATCTGTTTGTGGATTTTGAACAGTCTTGATGTGAACTCATCCACCTCTACAGTACTAGATAGAAAAAACAAGATTATACAAATGTAAGACTATGAGAAGAATTTGTGCTTAAATTTGAATATTTGTAGATGAGAACGTGAAAACTACTAAACAAAACTTCACCAATTCCATGACCCAAGGCCCATATTACGCTATTTTCTGATTTATGTTATAATGAGTGTATGTAATATTGATAATTTCAGCTCTGGTAAAAGGTAGCTAAGTTAACTTGAAAAGTACCGCTACATGACATCACAAGGTGGAACAGAGCATTTTGACCTGGCTAAAAGCTCACAAGAGTCAATCTTTCATAATATGGGACTTTTAAAATAATCACAATTAGGTAAGTACTGATAGAGTATTGATGATGATAATTAAAAGCTCATTAAAGTGTATTTTTCATAATATACCTCCTTTTGTTCTGCTCAGCCTCATAGAAATAAAACCGAAACCAGAAATACATAAATGCTATGATATCTTTTCAAAGTTCTAATACAGTTGTGTTTTTAGAATACAAAACGTCTACCTTGACAGTGCCTCCTCTAGAAAGTCTGCGCTTTGGCTGATCTTGTCAACTAGACGGTTGTAGTGAGTTTGTACCTCCAGAGCCTGCAGGAACACAGCCTTAGGCACAGGTGTGGGGAAGAGGGTGAAGGGCGCGTAACTCACCACCTGCAAAACAAATGGACTTACAATGGACTTTTGTAAAGAAAGTAGATGTTGAGGATGTGCTTTGTCTGTTGATGTCAGTTTACCTCTGATGAGTTGGGTGCTTCTTTTGTTCTCATTAGTACACCGTTCAAAAGTGCAGCATCTTTGGCGTGCTCTGATAGGTCTGCCACCAGTGCTGTATCCTTCATCATGTCATGTATTTCCTGGGCCATGTTGCTTGACCTGTGGCACAAGAGCAGAAATAATATAAATGTTCCCATGTTTGAAACTGAATTTGGAGTTGTTCCTGTTTATCTGAATGGGTGTAAACATGTGTCTTTGAATATAAAAAAATCTAATCAATCAGTTGCTAAATAAAATAGTTATTACAGCTCTAAGCAGTATAATGAATACAACTGGACTCTGAACTCTCTGAAATGTAAAAATTAGGGGGACAATGCAACAGCCGGGGACAGCATTGTTCTGGGCTTCAACGGAAACCTCTGTGACACCTAGAGAGGGGTGAAGAATGGCCTACCTGATCTGTTATTCTGTGTCCAAAGCAAAACACAGTGTTCAAGCACAAGGGTGTCCATCAGCGCAATGGCACCAGGACACTGACTGTTGTCCTGTCATGTGGACACTCGGGCAGAGCTGTCAACCAATCACCACCTGGTGGTGAGTTGGATTCACAGTCAGGACAGGAAGCCAGAAAGAAGGGGGCACAGAGTCTTATTGTTATTGAGTGGACCGCGTTCTCTGCCTCCACTGTCAAAGCGGTCACTCGTAGCTGTGCTTCAGTGCTGCGCGCCGGTGCCTAGCTCCCCTACACCCGGTGGCAGATGCTGAAAATAAGGGATACCGTCAGGCTGAAAGAGCCCTATCGGACCTTGTTGGTTAGTAGAACTCCTGAGGCTGTTGACAGGTATTGGCAGGTCAAGCTTGCCCCAGCTTGTATGGTCAGAGGCAAAAACTGGAGGCTGGAAGGAGTACAGAGGTCATGGAGGAAAATTATCACCTCAAGAGCAGAGTGAAGAAAAGGGAAGAAAATCCTTAACATCCCACAAAGAGTTAATTCTGGAAACCAAACGGTGCGTGATACCTGGGGACTTGGACTACTATAATAACTTGGTTTGGCGTTCCTAGGTCACCTAACCTGAAAGCTACAGAAAAAAACATAAAGCAAACTGCCAAAAATATATGAATAAAATACAAAAAATATCACATGTGTTTAAAAATATATATTCACTATACATTGTTTTCATTAGTTTGAAGTGTTTTTACACAATTGGGTTTAATCATTTCACGAAAGTCATTCATTGACGGTCCCTGACAGCAGACACAGCGGCACTTCAGAGCACAGCTCCCCGCTCCGGGCTGCACTGAGCCGGGCACAGGGAGAGGGAGCTCCCGCTGTTGCACAGGTGAATATACAACGTCCAATGTGAAGCCAACTTCACCAAAGAAAATAAAAACGAACTTATAGTCTAACCTGACCTGGGGAGTAGGCTACTTACCTAAAGAAAACAGAGACCGACAGCAATATATCTCAGTATGTGACAGGCTGCGTCCTTGTGTCCAAACTTTAATCTTGGTTTGATGCACTCGATGCACCAGTAAAAACACCTGTACATTAAATAAAAGAATCCCGAATGGACTTTACTTTACGGTTTTGTTCCGTGGTTGAAACAGGAGTACCAGTGGCTGAAGCACGCTTCATGGGCTGGATGAACCGGGCACTTCCTGTGTTTTCAACCAATGAAAATGTTTGTTATTCACCGACACGAACAGGGCTGCACCCTCCCGTGGTCTGCGCATGGTATGAAGGGTGAATTATCTGCTTATCCAGCATTACTCAGCGTTTTGACCGCGTTTTTCTGTGCTGAAGGTATTTAGTGCAACAAAGCTGTCTGCGTTGTTGTCATTCAGTGTACGAGCTAATTTTCCACTCCAGTCCCTTTGCTTGGGCTTGTTTCCTGTATCAATCTCAAATGTCACGTGCTAATCGAAACATACAAGTAACGTGGAACTTTTTTTTCTTCAAAATACCACTGTGTTGTTTACACATACCTTAAAACAACACACTAGTCTGTTAAAATAACCTTTATTTGGAAACAATACTAGAAGATCGAAATGAACTTCTTTGAAGTTCTCTTGAACTTAATTTTATAAAAAATGATGTATTTATTACATTACTGCCTCCTTAAAGATGTGCTTTGTAACTTTTCTGATAGAGTCTGTCACCTGCTTGTCTTCATGATGTTAATCTTCAGCCTGGAATGTACCACAGTATGGCATTAAACTTCTATCAGCGTGGAGACAAGCAGGCCAAGTTACAGGTCAGGTCTGTGTAGGGGCGGCTCTGCTCACAAAAGAATACATGTGTTTTTGGGCTATAAACACACTTGTAATAGAATATAAGGCAATGCCTAACTTCCAAACAAAATATCTCAGTGGAGATAAGCAGATGACAGACTCCCCACCAGAATTGCGAGTTGAGTTGCTTAGCTAAAGTTCTTTTTGCAAGTTGCTGTTTGTTCATAATATAGTTACGCAGTGCCGTATTTTGTCTTTGGTGGTAAAAAAAGAAAAAGTATGTGTATGTATATATGTGTAATAATAATAATACTAAATCTAATTAATCTAAAAGCAAAAAAGAACACAGAACCTTTCACTTCATTTTATTTCATTTTTTTATTTTTATTTCATTTTATTAATTAAAATTGTTATTTAATTTCATTTTATTATTATTATTGTTTTCTCATATTAATTTTTTCCCTTTTGCGTTTATTATTATTATTATTATTATTATTATTATTATTATTATCATCATTATTATTATTATTACTTATTATTACTTATTTTTTGTTATGTCAAGTAATCTGTCAAGCCATTAAATTAATCACGCAGTGGTGATGGACCCCATATTATTCAAGCTTGCTCAGCTTCTTTGGATGTTTGTTCACAGTTTTCACATATTAGGATACACAATATATGTCAAATGCATGCACATATTCACGTATACGTATAAGTGCCTATTGTGGGATTATAATTTAAAATTGTGGAAAAATAAAATTGGATATTGGAAAAAAAAAGTCCATCTTTAAAGTAGGGATGTTACAGTACAATAAAATAATTTAATGTCTCATACATAAACTGTATAAATAAATGGATATAGCTAACCAGCTAATCGCCGTGTTCCAAATAGTCCATCGACTCCAGTTGAATTTAGATTGAAAAACTATCACCGTTTTGATCTTAAAATGTTTCACTATTTATTTCACTATTTTGTCCGTAAATAAATTCCTATTTCTGATACACTCGTATAACTGCCAGCCTAGTGAGCTTCATTTGACTGGAGCTGAACACTATGGGTAATGTCACGCTCCCTTAGTCCACTCTCTATAGTTTTTCAGTTTCTACCCCATCCCAGCAGATGGAGCTAAAGCTTTATATTCACAGACCTCTCCCTTTAATCCTCTACTCTTTCAGAATAAACAGCACACTGTTCCAGGTTCTGTAAACCGGATCCAGACGATTCTCAGTGTATGAAACATGTTCAGAATATTAGTAGTGAAGCTGGGATTATAGCACTGTAGTTTGAGGGACTGACACATGACAAGACTTCATTCATCCAGGCAGAAGCAGACAGGGATCACTGGACTGTGACTGTACTCTCCCCTCTGTATTTGTGTGTGCATTTGTAGATGGCGAGTGGTGGACAGCTGTCGAGGGCTGAAGCGTTGGCGTGCACAGGCTACAGACATGCCTGCCACGTGATGCTCTACTCTGACACCAAGAGTCAGCTGTTCAGACGGACCCCTATTAGACACATTATACTGGTAAGAACAAGAGTAATATTCTCACAGTTGTCAAAATTTGTCATATAATAATAATAACGCACTCGTCTTATATAGCACTTTTTCAGTCGCTTTACAGTTTGGTGCATTATTCATTACATCATACCCAAATTGTATCTTGTTCTCACACTGATATAAAATGCCATTCTGGACAGGAAGATATACTGCATATGGGTGTTTTTTGTTTTTTTTCCCCACTCACTGTTCATTTTGGTCATCTACCATCAGTGCCCCTTCACTCAATTCTTTAAAGTTTAAAAACACACTACTCACTGGCTTTTAACACGGCATGAGAATTGTGTGGTCCTCTGACTGTCTTTTATTGATTTTATTAGCTATTTTCTATTTGCTAATTTTGTTATTTTTTTATGTTTTTTTTATGACGTGCTTATTTATTTATTTTATGCTTTATTGTATTTAATGTGTTAATTTATGTTGTGCCTATTCTGTGCTGCACTTTGGAGACTTTGTGTTGGTTAAATGTCCTATTCAAATAATGTTGGATTGGATTTGAATTGGATGTTAAAGGTGCACTATGTAACTTCTAAGGTGGAATGTCCGCTGCTTGCTTGTCTCCACTAAGATGTTATTTCTTTGCTTGAAATGTTCCACTGTAGGGCATTAAACATATCTCCCTTGTATTGGTTCAGTTACAGGTGAAAAAATACCTTAAAGGCGCACTGTGCAACCTTCCTTGGGGAGAGTCTGTCACCTGTTTGTCTCTGTGATGATGTTATTGCTTTGTCTGGGATATTCCACAGTACAGCATTAAACATATCCATTCAATTAAAGTTGTTTTTATTGCTCAAAAATACCTTGAAATATGTGTGTTTTTGCTGTTGGTGGGGTCACCTCTCCATTGATTTGGCCTGTAATTTAGCTTGGTGGTGTCACATGCTTGTTTTTATGGAAATAGACAAGTCCAAGACCATGTTTTACTGGTGCCACCCTAGTACCTCCACTCATTTTCATTTCTCTCTAGCGACTAGGTCAGGAATCGGAATACACTAGACCGTTTGCAAGAACCCCAGAAGTGTGAGTCCGGGCACCAGCCAATCAGCGAAGAGCCATACATTCTGTGTTGGCAACGATTCCTGAGGTTGAGGATTTAAAGCCAGAGCAAGGAGAATGTTTGGTGAATTTTAGGGGAAAGACATTATTGCCCTTATTCCTACAGGATTTGGGAAAAGATATACCAGATAGCCCTGTTAGCGGTGCATTACATACGTCACGACCAAATAGCAGCGATTGGTTAAATGAAAAAAGTACCCACCTACCGTCAATTGAACTAATCCTAATACTACTTTCTCCACGTTTCCACAAAGTGAATCCGTCTGATGAATCAGGCCAATATTTTAGCACATTCCAGGCAAAGCAGTAACATCTCCATGGAGACAAGCAGTGAGCGGACCCTCCACCAGAGAAGTTACACAGTGCACCTTTTAAAAACATGAATTATTACTGTGTGCAATCTTGCTTCTCCATAGACAATTAGCATGTGTCCATTGTGATTACCAAGTTTATTTCTATGCTGTGAAATAATCAAGGCAAAACAGTATGTATATCTCCATGGAGACAAGCAAGGTTACACAGTGCACATACAGTACATTTTTTTACATTCATAATAAAATGCATATCTGTGAGTGCCGAGGTCAGTGTTGTGTTCAGAGGTGTTAGAGTTTGAGCCTGTCACTTCCACAGATGCAGATGCGCTTTGACGGTCTGCTGGGTTTCCCTGGCGGGTAAGTCCGACTGCTTTTGTCCTCTCTAGAGTTCAGCAGGTACAGTTTGCTCTGAAGCATGTTGGCTCTATGGATACACACTTGGACAATGAACTCCTCCAGCTGATTTTTTTTGTGTGTGAATGTAACTATAATAAAACATGGATTAAAGGTGCCTTATGTAACTTTTTGGTTTTGGTCACCTGCTTGTTTCTATGGATATGTCATTGCTGTGCCTGGAATGTTCCACAGTATCACATTAAACAGCTTTACCTTACATTTATTCAGTCATAGCTGGTTTCAAAGCTCAAAAATACCAAGAAAAACCTGCATTCTTACTGTAACTTAGTCTAGTCGCGTCTTCATGAAGATAGAAACGTTTATTGCGAAACATTTCAGACAAAGCTGTTATGTCTCCATGGAGAAAAGCATTTGCAGACCCTCCACTAGAAAGGTTACTCTATGCACCTTTAACAAAACAGGCCATCAAAACATAGTTGTCCATTATCTGGTTGTTGTATGTAACTTATTAATATCCATGGAGACGGGACAAACCAAATTACAGGTTAGATCTATGGAGAGGCGACCCCATCCACTGTAAGAATGGATGTTTTTTAAGATATTTTTGAGCAATAAATAGCACCTGTAGGTTCACAAATGCGAGACAATTTAGTGTAATTCTATACTGTGGACAATTTAAACTAAAGCATTAACATCTCCATGGAGACAAACAGGTTGTGGAACACCTTCAGAAAAGTTACACAGTGCACCTTTTGTCAGTTTGTGTGATGAGACAAAATCGGACGTTAACCATATATTAGTGTGTGGGTTTGTACAAGCATTAAAGGTCCTACATTACGCAAAATTGACTTCTGTGAGCTTTAAGCCATGTTATAATGCTGTTCCCTCATCAAAAAATTAAAACATTGAGTAACCCTTTATGAATAGTCTGTCTACATCTCTAAATCTCAAAATGCTCTGTTCCATCTTGTGATTTCATGTATAGTTTTCAAGTTAACAGCTACCTTTTACCTTTGAGTTCGATGATTATGATTCAATTCCATGTCTGAATCCAAATAATTCTAGTGAAGGTGTATGGAGTTTAAAAACACAGTTCCTCTATGACCACATGACATGAGAAGGTGGAACAGAGTGTTTTCTGTTTGAGAGAAGAGCTCAGTTTACATGTGTAAATAAACCAAAACACAACTCCAGATATGTTTGTAATGAGGAAACAAGATTATAACATAGATCAGACAATAGCGTTATATGAGCCCTTTAAAGCTCATTATGCTGTTTACCAATTTATATCTCATTTGGAACCCTAGTATAGTAAACCCATCAAAAGAGAGCCTGGAAGAGGGCCTGAGCAGGGAGCTGTTGGAGGAGATTGGAGTGGCCGTTCCCATCTCAGAGGATGACCATGTGGAATCCTGCTATGCCCCAGCTTCTCCCACTTCATCATCATCATCATCTTCCTCTGGTCTGATTTTACACTTTTACGTAAAAAAGATGGAGGAGGAACAGATTCTCGACATAGAGCGTTCAGCAGCATCTGTAGCTGTGGACCATGGACATGAGGTAAATGTGGACTTAAGTTTTATTTTAAATGTTTTAAAAGTTTTGCTGAATTGTCTCTTGTGAGGTTTAAGTCGGGTTAGAATGATGTAATCTTAAAAAACATACCTGGAGTTCTGTTTTGTTTCATTCACACATATTTGAGTAACCCTTTATTATTAGCCTGTGTACATCTCACAAGCTCAAAATGCTCAGTTCCACCTTGTGATGTCATGAAGCAGTAGTTTTCATGTTAACAGCTCCTTTTTCCTTTTGTTCAGTAGGTATTGGTAATTCCAGGACTGAACCCATCCAAATGTTTCTAGTGAAGGTATATATGTATATGGAGTTTAAAAACACAGTGGTGCACTTCCTGTATTACCACATGACATCACAAGGTGGAACAGAGCGTTTTCTGCTTGAGAGAAGAACTCAGCTTATTATGCAGGATTTGTGAGTTAAGCATGTGTGAATGAAAAACTTTAAGAAAACTTTATCGAACCATAGAAATGCTGAATTCAGGACCTCCACTTTCACATCAATGCAGATAAATGCAGATGCAGATATAATGCATATAAATAAAATATAGTGCAAAATACTGCCCCAAACAGAAAACTGCCATCTCAAACTACATTACTGTATGCATAAATAGAAGTATTTTTGTTGATGCCTAAAAACCTAGGCTATATTTTATTGTATTCATATTTCAAAATTTTCTGCTTTGCTCAGTATCATATTTCATCTTCTTTGCAGGTGCTGGGAATGGTCCGAGTCCCAGTTTACCAAACCAAAAGCGGAGGAGGTCTCCCTTTGTTCCTGTCTCACTCTTTTATTGGGAACGCCCGGCTGCAGCTGGTGGACAATCTGCTTCGCTTTGGTCTCATCCCTGCAAAACACTTGCTCAAAGCTCTCAGGCTGTCGATGGAAACGCACAAACACAATGCACAGGACCTCAGAGCAGCCCTGGAACTCACAAAGGAGAAACTGAACTGACTCTACTGCACATGCACTAGATGTCCTCCAGGGGGCTGCAACAACTGATCAAAGTATTACTGAAGAAAAGTAATCATCAGTTATACTTTTAGGTTTGTTTTGTCAAAATTTGAAGAGCTCTTTTTAATGTATTCTGTGTTTTTTTTTAAAAGAAGCAATGCCATACAACCTCTATTCTTGCTTTATGATTATTGATCTTATCTTGATAATTAATCTTATTCTGTTTTGGTAATAATAAATAGGGGGTTTATAATCACCTTAACTGCATCTTTGGAAGAAAAAATGTGAGTCATATCACCATTAATAGAAAAGGCTCTGCACTTCATTTAAAATGTATTTATCTTGAAGAAAGGAAATGATTTCTCCACTTTATTTTTTTTGTTATATCTATCAGTTGCAGCTCTCGTTTAAGTATATTTTTGTATTTGTGTATTTTTATACAGCATTATTGGCTGTAGAGGCTTAGCACTTATGTTAGTAGCTTTTATATCCACTTGGGTCTTTGAAACCACAGAAGGGTAAACTGTCAGATTGAATAAAGACTGAGATCCTCTGTTATAAAAATCAAGTTGGGCCTTTTCTTCTTCTCTTCTCTATGTTTTGTTCGCACCAAAACAACATAGGCATCAATCCTTTGGCTATGCTGTTTTGATGAACACAGTTCAGTGTTAGGCACCCCCTAATTAATACAAATATGTTAATTGTAGGCTTTGTCACACTGTGTCCTATTATATGCTTAAGAAACCCTTCCTCAAGTTTCACTCAGAAAATCACAGTCAGTCGTTTTTTCTGCTTCTAAGCAAGTATAAAAATAATCTGCTAGACATTAGCATATTTCTTCTGACCTTTTTATAGATGAGCTGTCAACAGGAGAGTCCCCAATACCTACAGGTGATGTAACGTTTTATAGAACAATAAAATAATCACTAGAAGTAGTCAGAAAATACTGTAAATGACTTATGAAGTGTGTGTGTTGTTTGCCTTTTGCATTTTTGTGATCTATAATATCTATACATAACAGGTAACATACACAGCACCAAGGCACAAGTTAAACAGAAGCCCATAGATGTTCTGTGTTTTCTTGATAGTTTTTCTTCTGAAATCAGACGCAGCATTGGTGCAATCTGAGGATTAATTATGTCCTGACTTACTCCAGCCTGCAGCCCCAGCCTCGACTCTGTTTAAATGTACCCTGGGTGCATATAATGTAGCTGCACCAGATGTTTCTAACCTCATTCTCTGATTATTCTGTGGGCTGTGAGGAAGACCAGACAACTGGAAGTGTACACTGATGATTTTATACATATTACATTTAAATATTACTTTTTATTACATATGAAAATGCAGATTCTTTCAAATGTTTCTTTTTTTGCACTTATATAACGTAACAATAAAAGGAGCACACTAGATAAAAAGTAGGCTCAGGAAGAAGCAAAATCCCCCAAAAGGGCTTACGTTAAAGCCTGCACCTTAAGAATACATAACATCCATGATCATTGCTGCATGTACTGTGAGCTAGAACCATTTGTCTTAAACCAATGCTTGGGTTAAAGAGAAGAAAAGATGCACCATGTTCCCTAAGCGTTCATATCAATCACAGTACAGGTGTCCCTTTTACTCACTGCAGATGTTTGATTCACAAAACAGTATTAATCAAATATATGCAGATATGTCTGAAATGGCCCTTGTGGTAGACAGAAATCATATTTGTCTGTTTCTCAGCTGTCAGGAGGGAAAAACTGCACCACATCCGGCAGTAACAGACAGGAAGCGTTTGAGTAAAAACCATGATCTTTGTGGCCCAAAACATGGTAATGTTTTGAGTAAGCGTATACCAGCGTGAGGAAATGCCGTGTTCTGTCAGCCTGCACCTTGCAATCGCAGGATGCAGTCATGTGACCACGTTGTTAGGGCGAATAACACAAGGTCATGAGGAAAACATTTGGAGCGAGAGAGAGAGGGATGGAGTGAGGAGGGAGGAGGGATGCACGGATGGATGGAGGAGCAGGAGGAAAAGATGGTATATTCATAGCAGCAGCCGTATTTATAGGCGCCCGGAGGAGAGGATGGAGCGGGGGGCGGGGCTTACGTGAGCGATCGACTAGGAGAGGGGGAGAGAGAGGTTAGGAGGGAAGGAAGAAAGGGAGCCAGCGCGAGGGGAGGGCTGTTTTTGATGAGAGCGTGTGTGTGTAAGAGGAATCTGTCACATTCAAACACTGTTCTGTCTCGTGTGCCACAGGGAGATGGAGGGATGAGAGCAGAAGAGAGGAGATAGACAGATACAACGGAGGAGGACTAGGATGTGCGGTAGGTGCAGCTGTCATGTCATTTGTTTACATGCACAAGTGATCTCTTCATGCAAAAGTCAGGAGTTTGGAGCGTGCGTGTTTAACCTTAAATTCACTTCCCCTGCTGCTGCTGCTGCCTCTGAAGTGGACAAATGGATGTAGGCTGCAGATTCACTGAAGACGTATCAATTATGTAATATGTGTGCACCATTTTCAGGCTTGCAGGCTGTTGTGTTTGTGTGGCCGTTGTGTGGGGCACCTCCAGTACCCACTACTTTGACCACACCATTGATTTATGAGCGTTCGTGTATATAGATGTATAAATCAAGTCTCTGTTTAGTTGTCCTCTGAGATTCTCACATGGATAATTTATTAACTGCTAATTTACAGTCAAGCAATCCTAATGGGTAAACAGGTCATTGAAATGCATGTAGTACTATAGAAAAAACAGAGTGGACAGAGGTTGGCTGCTGTCCTTAAGTGGCTCTCACAGCAGTGTGTATATACAGTAAGCTTACATCCTAATAACTAGATCATAATTCTAAAATAAACCCACTCAAATGCAAAACCATAAATAAATCTGAAAAATAAAAATGTCTTTAAGTGAAATAAATGTCAATGTGTTTATATATTACAATAGAAATGTCAGCAACCTTTCAGTTTTGAACAGCAGACAGGAACAATGCTGTTGTACTTACTGTACAACCACAAATAGAAAATGTTCCTGTTTTTTGCAATGTCTTCATGAAAAAAAAAAAAAAAAACATTACCCATGTCGTGATGATAGGAAATTCCTTCAGAACAGTATAAAGATATGCCCTGTTTTTAAAGGTGCATCTCCATGGAAAAGCTTTTTCTGAAATGTCCCATAGTATGGCATTAAACATCGATATCCATGGAGTCAAGCAGGTGAAGCTACTAGGCCAAGTTACAGGTCAGATTTGTGGATAAATTACCCAGCTGTTGGTCAGAATGAACAGAGGCGGCACTACCATTTGGCAAATGTTGGCGGCTGCCTAGGGTCCCCAAACCTTTAGAGGCCCCCAAATTCAGTGCCACTAATGGCTGAGGCCTCAGAGCAATTTGATTTTCTCTCATTATGACATTAAATGAGAGTAGTTTACTTTTAAACAATAAAAAAATAATCATATGTAGTGGATGTAAACAAAAATGTAATTGTACTAACAAAAAAATAAAACTACTTTCAGCTCTGATTATTTAGCAGGCTACCTAACTAATACGTTTTCAATCCACCATAATTCAGATAAATACAGATGTTCATGTCTCAAGAACAATGGGGAAAAACAAACAATAAATATAAAAACAGACAAAAAACAACTGTGCATTATAATGAGGGCCCCAAACTCAAATTCACCTTAGGGCCCCCAAATTGCTAACTCCGCCACTGAGAATGCAAGAATTAAAATCCACTGTAGTTGAATAAATACCAGCAATATACATTTAATGCAATACTGTGGAACATTTTGTTCGTGGATACAAGCAGGTGACAGATCCTCCCCCCTAGAAATTACACAGTGCATCTTTAAGTTTATATAGCTGAATCGTTAAATGTTGGATTTGTGGGTTACTAAAGTTTTTGGCAGTATATTGAATAGCTTTTTGGAACAGAAAGACTCTCTCACAAGTTTTTTTAATTTTTAATTTGTAATTTGTGGTTTTGTAAGCAGTGTTGATACAGTGTACACCACAATAATCCTATAGGTGAGAAGTAGGCCTGTTATGATAATTGCTGTATTGACTTATATCTTTTGTGTGTAGAATTTCTTTGTAAAAGATGTCAGATTTGGGGTATTTGTTGTTGTAATGTGATATTATTTGAGATGTAAAAGGTTGAATTAAGCAACTATTTGTTCATTATTGTTATTGTATCAGTGGCATATACTAGCAGCCTCAATATGATCGTTTATCACAGTATATCTCTGTAGCAATTAGGAATTTAAAGGTATCCAAATCTCTCAATATGATACTTCCACCATATGCATCTCACGGTACGATATTTATTGCAATATTTTGTAGAGGCTAACAAAATTGTGAATATGCTACTTTTTCCTTTTAAAAAGCCTTGAAAAATCCTTAGGTTCTGTTATAATATGAAGAATTAAGACTTAAAAGTGTTCACTAACAGTTATTTCTTCATGTAGTCTTCACTGACAACAACAAAGGATCATGGTCTTTGTAGTTCTCTCTGTTTTGTAGCTGTTGCTGCACCAAAACAAAGTGATCTGATATATTGTGATCGCCCACGATATTATTGTGAGACTTTTGACAATACGATATCACTATATTTCGTTTATTGTTACATCCCTAGGAGCAATATATTGTGATTCAAAATTTGTTATCATGGCAGGCCTAGTAAGAAGTCGGCATTATATAAGAGTAGAAATAACCTTATCTTAAAATGCCATATGCCATAAATAATATAAACACATTATACTGGGACCTCTATTTATTTTTGGATGCAAACTCACTACATTGGTATATCTTTGAAATTTTACTCTAGGCCCAGTACATTACATCATAGAAGCCCCTAGTATATTGTATTGAATGTAGTCGTAATAATTAGCATTTGGCCTGTCACAATAACATATTTTAAGTGCAATAGTGCAATATATAGGTGTCTGATTTTCAGCAAAGAAGGACTAAACTGGAAAAACTGCTATCTAGCTTGTGACAGTAATTTTATTTTTGAGAGACTTGCTTAAGAGCACAAATCACCCACCTGTTGTAGTTCCATCTCTTTCTGGTCAGATTGTGTTAAAATAAAGATTATATTAAGTCTAACTTGAGTAGCAGAGCTTCAGAAAGAGCAGTGCTTTCAGTTAGCATCACACCCCATTGGAAACACATCAGTATCAGTATAAGTCTGTGTGATAAATCTGAGTACATGACCCAACAGCAGGGAATCAATACACCACATTTCTATTTTTGTCCACTGTTGTTTTCAGAGTAAAACTGTCTAAATGTCAAGAACTTTGCAGCATGTTTTTCACAAATCACCAGCACGAGGGAGCTTTCAGAAATGGCGCTTAACGTGTAGAATCATAACACGGACGGGGAAATGAATGAGTAGTCACAATCTGAAGGTGCCTATGAAACCGAACACTGCGGATGTGGCCTCTCTCACTCAACTGTCAAACTGTTTTCATTTCACTTTTTTACTGTCAGTTGTATACATTATGTAAAGAGTTGTGGCTAAGGTCTAAAGTGAAGTGGCGTAACTCTAACATAATACACAATCTTAAAGACGGTTCCTTAAAGAGCCCATATTTCACAAAATTGACTCTTGTGAGCCTTAAGCCATGTTAAAATGGTGTTACATCCTCAAAAACTGACCTGGGGTTGTGTTTTGTTTCATTCACACATGTCCGAGTAACCCTTTATTATTATTCTGTCTACATCTCCAAAGCTCAAAATGATCTGTTCCACCATGTGATGTCTTATAGTGGTAGTTTTCAGATTAACAGCTACCTTTTATCTTTAGTTCAGTTGAGAGATGGGAAATTTCAAGGCTGTAATTATCCAAAAAATGATTCCAGTGAAGGTGTGTGGAGTTTAAAATCACAGTGGAGCATTTCCTGTTTTACCACATCACAAAGTGGAGCAAGTGTTTTCAGTTTGAGAGAAGAAATCAGTTTAAATATGCAGGATCTGTGTGTTAAACATGCGTGAATGAAACAAAAAAACACAACTCTATATATTTGTGATGAGAAAACAACATTATAACAGGCCAGAAAACAGAGAAAACAGAGCAAAAGAGAATGTCTCTTTAAGCAGAAACATTTCTAGTGAGATTTGTGGATTATTCTCTCCATCAGATAAATTTCCCATGTTGCTGTACTCGCTAAAAAGATGCGTGAAAGTCCTGACGGGTAAACTTTTGTCTCAATTTGGATTTGACTCGTTTGCACGGCTAATCTCTCATCGACCTAAATCTCATCACAGCTACTTGTTGCAGAATTCTCCGCTCAGTTAGGCCCTCTGCACACGTTATCTTAATGAAATGATCTGATGGTTTGCCTGCGTCAGCCTATTAGATTAACATACCCAGTTGTAAGCTATTTTCCCCCCAAAAAGACAAAACCATTTGACAGCAGCGGTTGCGTTGCAGTAAAGATGCACTGTGCAATCCTCCACCTGCTTGTCTCCATGGAAATATTATCGCTTTGTCTAGAATGTTCCACAGTATACATTAAATCTACTGTATATATCACAAGGGAGACAAGCAGTTTACAGCGCTACGCTACATTACAATTCAAATCTGTGGAGAGTCGCTCCTATTCACAGAAGGAATTAATTGTATTTTTGAGCAATAGAAAATCTTGTAATGAGTAAATGTAAGTTGCATGTGTTTAATGTCATACCATGGAACATTTCAGCAATAACATAAATAACATCTCCAAAAAGTTTCGCAGTGCACCTTTAATTCCACTAGTCTTTAATCACCTGCAGAGGATGCTACTATAAGCCCTAAGCTGACAGAACCTTTGCTGTCTGGCTTTGATTTAATAGGCTAATTCCATTATATTTCATGTCAGGGCTACACCTCCTCTCCACACCACTCTCTACACATACAGATGAATGCTCTCCGCTGCTTTCTGGACTTGTGTTACATATTTAACTGCTCTCTGCTGCCGCATCACTCACACAGATCTCTATTCTGCTCAGGTGAAGTTGTTTACAAGGAAGAGACATTTTGAATCATTACTTTACTTTACTACTTTTAATAACTTGATTAGCTTGATTTATTATGCGACAGACAACCAGTATTTCTTATTGAGTGTAATAAGGTTGTAATGTCACTCTACAGCAGTGTTTCCCAAACTTTTTTTCTGGGGACTCATATTTTAAAAATCACAAACCTTCACGACCCAAGTCAATAGACATTATTCGTAAATCACAAAATAAAGGTGGATTTGACCATTGTTGAAGATTAATGAGGATATTTTATTGTTGACTGAGTGATCGTGTCTCTCTGAACAATTAATATTATTCAAGTTT